AGAAAAAAGACTAAAACAATTGTGCGAAAAAACAACGTAGTCAATAACGGAAGTTCCTCTAAAAGTGCATTTACCAACAACCTTATCTTCACACATACGACCGTTTGCAATAAAAAGATTATTACTTTTACACAGTTCTAAAAATCTTAAACCAGTAGCATTCGTTTTGTTATCAGAAGAGTTTCTTTTCGCTTGGAAATTATTTTCTTCTAAATATTCAATACAGTTAAATTCACTGAGAAAAGACTCATCTAAATCAAAAAATGTTGTTAAAAAGTTATCAAAGCTTACATAATCAGGTAAAGATGCTGTGTGACCATTAACATCACCGATGAGAATACAATATTTATACAAAGAACATTTATCAGAAACATCATTTTCAAAATTGAAAAAATCATCGTCATTAAAAAAACGAGATTGTAGTGGAGGTACATAGACGGCTCCTAATATCAAGTGCTCTTGTTTATCAAAAATGATGCAATCAATTTTTATCCATAAAACATAATCACTATTGGATTCTAGCACTTCAACATTTAAAGAAATACAGTCTTTAACAAAAATACCGAGCCCTCCTGATTTCCTATAGTATCCTTTAGACCTAGGTTTAGAATAAAATTTATATCCTGGTACATTTATAACATCATAGATATCAAGTTTTGACTCTTGAACACAAAAAATGTCATAGCTTCTCACTAAATCTAAAAAATCAGGATAATTACATCTTTGTTTAAGACCACAAACATTCAGACTACCAATATTTAAATCTTTAATGCATGTAAAACTTTCAGATGTATGCTTAGAATAGCCTTCACAATGAGATATAAAATCTTCCGAGATATTCGGGCTATAAGCTATATCTTCAGTGTTCCTTTTATCAAAGTCAGATAAGACGTGTGGCTTATAATGTTCACAAATTTTGAATTTTGACGTGCTAGGTAAATTTATACATTTTGCACATAAATAAATAACATTATTCTCGAATGTGACACTTTCATAGTCTTCAGATGTTAAAAAAGTACTTGCTTGTACATGTTCGATAGTCTCTGTCTCTGCCCCCGGCACGTGCTAACTAGTACGACCTTTATTGTTATTCACGTATCTGCTTGATTTAATCCGGTTAACGTCCGTAGAATTGGAACCATCAGATGCGGAAACATTTTTTCGAAACGAAGGACCTTTGCCTCGCGGAGACTTATTCTTGTCCGTGCGACTGTTTGTTAAACGGTCGCTCAACAGAGGTTGTCCATTATTTTGGCTTGCTTTCTTAGATTCTTTGTCACATGAAGTATGTACATAAGGTTCAGATATAAGTGGGCGTTCGCGTGTCTGGGTCTCTTCTGTGCAAGGAGGTACTGTGGCGGTGATATTCTGGTCAGTGTCTGGGCATATATCCTCTATAGTTTCAGATTCACATGGCTCTACATGTTGATCTCTATAGTGAGTATCAAAGGCCTGGCGCATTGTGTCTGAGTTTTGCTTTACTGTCTCTGCAACCCGTTTGTGAACGCTGGTATGGCGTGATCCTCTCAATGTCTCATACCAATCGGGAAACATGTCATGAATGATTTTGCCCTTGACTTTAAGTGCTGCTGGATATATTATCTGTACTTCCTTTGGACCGTGTATTGCCCGCTCTGCTTTAAATTTAGGCCACAGAGCTTTCCTCGCATCACTGATTTCTCTAGGCAAGTCACGCGTTAGACCAATGTTGGTGTCCTTTAGTTTATGAGCATTCCGCATAAGAATTTCTGCTTCAACTCTATGGCTAAGTGACACAAGTATAAATCTATGTTGCGGTTTCGTTGGTGAAAGATGTGGTGCACGTGGCTTGAAAACTCTACCTAATCTATAGGCGTCATAAATATTAAAAGTTTTAGGATCAAGATCTAGATTATTTTTAATAACGTCTGCAACGACATCTATACAATTTTCTCGGGCTATTTCGGGTACACCAGTTAGTATTACGTTTTGTTCTCTTGCCCGGGCCTCCAAATCAATCGACCTATATTCTAAAAGTTTTACACGTTGGTCAGTGACCTCATTTCGTGCACAATTAATATACACTGTAGATTCAATGCTATCTAGTCTGTATTTCAGTAAACCCATATTCGACATACCTTCGAGAATAACATTTAATTTTTCGTCACTCGGTAATTTCTTCAATTCTTCAAGGTTTTCAAATGATTGTAAAACAGGTGTATCTACCTGATGTCCATGTAATGATCCGCCACCTGTTGAGCGGCGAACTCTCTTGCCGCGCTGCTCTTCATAACTATCAGAGAGAGGCTCAAACCTATTAGAATATCGGTCTGTCGGCATCATACTTGATTTTGCTAGAAATGTGCTAAAATTGATGTCCATAATATTGAATATAAATCCAAAAATATTTCAACATAGATCCAAAATTGAAAACACGTCCGCCATTTTTACCCACAATACCTAATATAAATGATATATCTATACTCCGTAATGATCTTAATATAGACTTATATGCGGATGACTACACTTTACCAATCCGGTGACTATTTACTGGAAATACAAGATAATTTACAAAAAGAATTAAATTTTATAAATGATTGGTGTTTCCTTAATAATATGTCTTTGCACCCAATAAAAACAAAATGCATGATGATAGGTTCTTCAAAAAAGGTGAAAAAATGTAATCCTCTCCTACTGAAAGTAAATGATACAACTCTTGAAAATGTTACAGTTCATAAGTTATTGGGCATTTATATAGATAATACATTAAACTGGCATTATCAAATAGACTCTGTTTGCAAAAAACTAAATACAAAAATTGCCCTCTTCAAACATATCACTTTTTACCTTACGAAGTAAAAAGGCGTACATCCTTCCTGAGCTTGACTATTGTTGTACGGTATGGGGAAAGGACACATACTCATACATCATAAAGTAAACTCAATTAAAAAAAGAGCTGCAAAAATTACACTTAATAGACCAATACGTTCACCAACATTAGATCTTTTTAAATGGCTGAAGTTCAATTTTAGAGTGAAATACCACACAGCAATTATGGTGTATAAATCTTTAAACAATCTGGCACCGTTATATATGAGTGAAATTTTTAGTTTCTCTCACAATAAATTACACAATTTACGCTCAATCGCGCATAAAGATCTTGTTCTGAAAAGTATACCTCATACAAATTATTTAAAGGATTCTTTTTCTTATTTCAGTATTGACGTTTGGAATAAATTACCTATTACTATCAAACAATGTTCGACTTTACAATCCTTCAAAAACACCTGTAAAATTTATTTTCTAAGTCTACAGTTAGATACATGATGAAAATTAACCAATTTATATTTTAATTGTTGTAAATGCTGATATGATTCTTTTTTCTCCTTTTTTGTGTCGCCTCTACGGAGTAGTTAACACATATAGGGATCACTTCTCCGTCGTCTGTCTGTCCGATCGTCTGTCTGTCCGTCTGTCTGTCCGTCTGCCCGTCCGTCACAAAACTTGTCCGGACTACTCCTCATAAACTACTGGTGCAATTTCATCCAAACTTTACAGGAATGATCAGTACCAAGTCTAGTTGTGCATATTGTCAGCATTTTCCGGTTCAGTGATTTTTGTCAGAGTTATGGCCCTTTAATAATTTTTATTTTTAAAGTTTGTCCGGACTACTTCTCTTATACCACTAATGCAATTTCGATGAAACTTTACAGGATTGATTTGTAGCTCAAGTCATTGCGCATATTGCACGAGTTTTCCGGTTGAATGATTTTTGGCCGAGTTATGGCCCTTTGATAAAAAGGTGTTTTTTTCTGTGTGTTGCCAGATAAACAAAAGCTTGTCCGGACTACTCCTCATAAATTACTGGTGCAATTTCATCCAAACTTTACAGGAATGATCAGTACCAAGTCTAGTTGTGCATATTGTCAGCATTTTCCGGTTCAATGATTTTTGTCAGTGTTATGGCCCTTTAATAATTTTTATTTTTAAAGTTTGTCCGGACTACTTCTCTTATACCACTAATGCAATTTCGATGAAACTTTACAGGATTGATCTGTAGCTCAAGTCCTTGCGCATATTGCACGGGTTTTCCGGTTGAATGATTTTTGGCCGAGTTATGGCCCTTTGATAAAAAGGTGTTTTTTTCTGTGTGTTGCCAGGTACACAAAAGCTTGTCCGGACTACTCCTCATAAACTACTGGTGCAATTTTATCCAAACTTTACAGGAATGATTAGCACCAAGTCAACATAAAATTTGCCATCATGAGATCACTGATCGCTCTTGTTTATAAATCACTACGAGTTTATCTACAATTACTATAATTAATGAGTGTCAGTCGGATGAATAAATAAAAATATCTAACCTTTACATTCAAGAATATAATATATATATATATATATATTATTTTTTTTTTTTGTTTATACAAAAAGATTTTAAATTTTGTATAGATCTACTTTTTTATTGTTTGTTATTGTTAAATCAGAAGGCCATACTGAAAATAAGTATACTTCTTACTGTGTAAACTTTGTATGTTACCTTCTATAAATAAAAAAGATTTTATTATTATTATTATTATTATTATTATATTTATAGCGTTGCAGACCCTCCAGATTACGTCCGTCCGTTCGTCTGTCCGTACGTCCCGAAATCTTGTGAACGCAACTCCTCTTAAACCGGATGGCAGATTTTGCTTAAACTTCCAGGGATGAACAACCTTAATGTGTAGATGGTAGTTAAGGAATGAATTTTTGCTGCGACCAAATTTAACAGAATTATGGCCCTTTGTTGATTTTTTCACTATATACCATATAGAATTTTGTGAACGCAACTCCTCTTAAACCGGATGGCAGATTTTAATAAAAAGTTCCACATAAAAACCTTACATACAGATATGCATGCTCTTGTTTACGAGCACATCTGCACAGTGGGGGCATCCGTGTCCTTTGGATACAGTTCTAGTTATTATTTGGATTGAATTCAAGCGTAACACAAATGTTAATATCGTATTTTAATTTTCGAATATGTCTCTACATGACCGTGAAATTTTCACTTGCATTTAAACATTTTTTTTCTTTTACGTCGTATTTGATAAATCAAACTGACAGTGCCAACGTCATAATTATGACAACATCAAACCTTCAAGGTTATTATTTTAATAAGCTTTTAAGACAGACCGATCGGAATAAGTGAATCACATACATGTTATTTCAAAAATCTAAAATGACCAACTAAAAATTATTTTTTAAAAGTTATTATAACTATTAAATGTGACGATTTATTTATTTATTTATTTTATTTTGAACATATAAACAAACGTTCCTGTTTTTCCAATTTCTTACACTTCTTCTTTCCTTACTCTAAAGTCTTAAAAGATATATTTACAGTGACGTTTGAAAATGAAGTTATTATGTCCAAGAAGAACAATCATATAGTGTTGTAGTAATTATCGTCATCGTCGCTAGAATCTGCTAGGGCTGCATCAATTCCGTACATTAACATTTTCCATCGGCGTTTTTGTGACGCCGACGGTTCTTTATTTCTTAGAGCGTCGTCTTTTGCCTTTTTAGCATCGATTTCTTTATTGAATCGTTTAACGCGTGCATCAAGAGGGTCTTTAAATCTAGTCTTTATTTTCAATAATGTCTTCATTAAATCACCGATATTTGTAGGTTTTCCAATATCATCATCATCATTTCCCTCTCTAAGAAATTCCTGCAGACCATCAGCTATATCTTCGTCTTCTTCTTCATCACTACTTTCATATTGCTGGTTATTTTCTTGTCTTTCTTGTAGCCAACACGTAAACGACCTTCTTCTCTGGGCCTGTTTATCTTTCGGATAATTTGCAAATATTGACTCCTTCTCTATTCTAAACTTAGCTTTCTGCTCAGACATCCATTCCATGAATTGCTCCTTTCTTTCCTCTTCATCATCAATAGCTGGTAGAGATGGCTGTTTCATCTGATGACGCAACGTCCATTTTGACTTCCGATGTGCGCGCGAATTTCCGCGTAATGATATGTCCTCTTCCGGTACGCTGCTTAGAGCTATAGAGTCGCATCGTTGTAAAGTTGGGACTGCCATTTGAGTATCGAGTTTATTTATTATACTTATTTTTCGAGATGCTACTTTATTTTTCCACTGCGTCATAAAAGATCTTGCAATATTTTCATGGCTTCCATACATGGAATCCTCGTCAATAATTGACATCCGGCTATCACCGCGGTACGTATCGCTCATTTCATTGGAATTACTTCGCGCTCTTGGTAAATGTGAAAACGCATTGAGTCCAACCATTACATCTAGTAATGTTTTAGGGTTAGGTTTAGGCAGTTCTGGTCTCTTAGGTACATCAATATCATAGTAGGCATGCGTTTGTTTACCTTTGCCAGGTAGTTGTAAAAACATGGATTGTTTTCTGTTTAGTTTAAGCACGTGATCTTTTTCTGCCTGGGTTTCTGGACCGGATCTAATTTCTTGATGTCTTCTGTTTGAGGCCGTGTGCTGCATTTCATCATCGGAGTGGTGCATGTTAGCCGGAGCAGTCCGTGCGAGACGGATTTTTCGTCGTCGTCGCTGCTTCGTCACTTGTGGCGGAGTGATAGAACCGCAATCACGACCCAGTAACCTGCAATAAAAGAAAAGTGTCATTTAAAATATAAATCATTGCTCTAGACATTATTCGCAGCAAAATCGGTCATAGACCAATAACTTATGAATTAGGGATTTTTTAGTCTTGTCTAATACTATTAACTTTATATAACTTTATATACCTTAAGTTTCATAATTATGTTTAGATGCATGGTAGAAAAATATAATTTCAGTTGTCTTTATTTTCCCAGTCAATGCATTTTGTTGTATGTAAACATATTAATTCAAATATTCAATTTCATTATACATTTCATAAAGGCTGCTAGTCAAATATTATATACCAGTATCAATTTAGAAGATATGTATCTATTTCTCGGCTTAATGTTATAAGTAGATAAATATCCAAAAACTAAAATTTTTAGCTTATTTTCTTATATCAATGACATTCCAAAGAAAGGTCTGTTTTTTACTAGTTTATATTTATAGCAATTTCCTTCTAATTTATTACATGAAATTTAAGTTTTAAGAATTTAATGATACATCTTTTTCTGTATTATATAAGAGTATTGGTAAAACCACTTTTGTCACTTGTAATGTTGCTGTCTTGAAATTTCTTGTTGTAAGATGGAGAAAAACAGAATCCTCAAAAAACGCTCAAAACGACAGAATTTAAACTGTTGCAGGCTCAGTTTGATTGAGCCTGTTCATGGACGGTAGTGGTAAGTGTAAAGAACCGTCCACGCCCCCTAGCACCGGCTTAGGCATTATTCAACATTAAAATATGTCATTGAATAAAAATGAAAATAATGTCTTTGATAAAACTTCTCTTCTGTTCAGTTCTGTTCTTGATATGTTTGACAGATAATTGATTTGCAAACAAGTTTACGAAATTAGTTCAATGAAGTTAGAAAAATATCTTTCCTAGCTTGTGTGTTTTACTTTTATCAAAGTATAACCTGCTGTTGAAAAAACAACAACTAATGATTTGTTTTTAAATGGTATCTCATGTCCAAATAGATAGAATGCATACATTAAAAACAGACAAAAAATTACTGCTAACATTTCGGTGGTAGTATTTGAAGTTTACCTTCCAGATTACGGATGTAGGCCACTTTGAATTCACCAGAGCACAGTTCGGCCACTGGATCATTCATGGGCAGGCTGTCAAGACATTTGCCAGTACTGGATGCTTCAATTTTGCAAGAACTATTATTATTTCTGTATCTGCCAGGACAGAGGTACAATTCGAATGACAGTAGAAAAGATTTCATGATCAATCACAAATCACAACAAAAGTGACCTGCACCGTCTGGTAAAAGAACATGTGTTGCCAAATTCGATTAACACCCCAACGCTTTACCATTTGAGGTAATAGGACGTCGCCACTGCTTATATAACATTACTTCATTAAAAGTCGACATATCCGATGTAAAATAGATAGAAAAACATCAATAAATGAGAGGCATGTGTGTGTGTGGGGTATAAAATAATGAATGTTTTATCTGCTCATTATGCAAATTATTTAAAGTTACCATAAAAAACATAACAACAACAAAAGTTTTAATGCTTATAAGGACTTGCTTCCTTCTACTTTCTGACCTAAAAATGTAGAGATTCCATAAAAAACGCCAAAAACGGAAAAATTGAAAATGTTGCAAAACCTTCAAGCAGTGTGACAAGTTTGTGTCATACCATGAAAAGTGGCGCATGATCCACGAGTAAAAGATTGCGTATGGCCCAAACGAGAAACAATTGGCGAAACTTTTGAAAGGACATCAGAGATTATGAAGCCTGAATATCACAGATTACACGTCAAACGACACATTTAAAAAACTGGTAACATATCCTGATTATACAATATCCAAGAAAAAATACTGCAACCACCGACTATAAAAAACTCAAATAGGAGAAACACGACAACAATGTCGTGCTGCACGATCTTCTAGGATCGGAAATGTATCATTATCATCAAGTCACGATATATCAAAAACAACAACAAAAACAACAAACACACACACTCAAAAATAACAACAAAAACCAACGTGTAATGAGAAGATTTCGTCATTTAGCCCTGACATGTGCCCATGGCACGGTTAAATCAAACAGACCCTGGTAATACTTCAAGATTGTATTAAATGTTAGATTATAAATCCTAATCCAAATGATAATCCCTTCTCACTGATTAACTCCTGAGATTTAGTTTTCATTTGTGATTTATGCGGTTGCTACAAGAGAAACATTCGATATCGTATTGAATAGTTCCATAAATATTAAAATAATACAGTAATAAAAAAAGAAAATTACTATTTATGCAAGCTGCTGTGAACATTAATACAGTTGAAAATAACAAATAATTTCTATATTCAATAATCATGTGAATGGTTTAAACATATTTATTTAGGCTCGATTGCTAAACAAGTTCTTGCAACTTATATTAATCACTTTCGACCTTCCTGGAACCAACCAGTACTGATATCATATGAAGAAACATGGTCGTGACCCGATTAGGACTCGAACCCATGATCCCTGGGTTGATAGGCAGACACCTTAACCACTAGGTCACCGCTCCCCTTAATGAGAATTAGAATCAGACAGCAGACAGTAATTGTAATACAAATATATTTTGAAAAGTAATTGAACTGAATGTGTTACAAGTTTATTGAACTACGACGTTTAAGCTTGTCTGCTTCAAACCATGATTTTATGTTACTATAGTTTCAATGTTCAATGTCAATGATAAAATCACTTTAGTTAAACGATATTAAAAGTCTAACATTGTTCCTTAGGGACTACTTGTGCATGTCGCGTCACTTACATACGTGGGTGAATTCCTCGTCAAATTCTCGTTCAAAACTATTACAATTTATAATTTGTCGACATTTGTTCATAAAAGATATCAAGACATTGTCAGTATTCAATCCAGTCAATTCCCCTGAATGGCTGTGTTATGTAAGATGAAAACTATACATATATATAGTTCCAGTGTTTTATTAACACAGTTTTCGAGAAAATTTGTTTGCGTGACCAAAAATTTGCTAGTTTAAAAGTGTCTAGTATCAGCCTCTTATCATACACACGTTAACCTCGTGTTTGTGGAGTCAGGTAACACGTTAACCTCGTGTTTGTGGAGTCAGGTAACACGTTAACCTCGTGTTTGTGGAGTCAGGTAAAAGGAAATGCTTTTATAAAGATAAGCACTTCAAATGTTATATAAAATCCTTAAATGATAAATAATTTAGAAGAATTTTACCTATATATATTAGAGAAATAGACAAGGCGACGCTTCCGATATCTCTACAGCTGAGGAAGGTAATTGAATATTATAAATTGATTTCTGATATTTCTCTACAAATGAGACTATAGAGATACATTGCTTAATAATTTGATAATTTTTTATTTCTGTGATGGCATTGAAATTGTGTCCGTCGTTCATCGTCCGTCGTTTACCCACAATTTCTTTAAACAACATCTCCGCCTAAAATACCCAGTGGATTTTGACCAAATTTTTAACCAAAAAAAAAAAGTTAATTCTTCTTAGAAAACTGAAATGACAAAAGCTTAGATATTGTACATGTATCATTCATTGCCTTGTGGTCCCCTTTATATAAATTATGCCCTTTGAGTTATATAGGAATACACATTAAGTCTTGTTTTATAAAACCGCAATGCATAAAGATTTAATATTTAGTTTGTAACATAGTCAAACGGACTTCTACAAAAGTTATATAAATCATACACATGGTGGCAAAATTCGCTGCAACCCGGGGATCACTTAATTTATATAGTGAAATAACTAAAAGACTTCTTATCAGAAACTTCAAAGCTTATGGATAAGATATTTGGCACAATATTTTTTTTTGAAATTTGATAAAATAAGCTGGAATGGTTATGCTTTAAACTGATCTATTGAACTAAATAAAAATTCTCAACCCTGAATTCTGTACGGCAGGGCTAGACAGTTCTTGGTTGAAGTTTGATTACATTTTTCATCACATCAATAGAAGCAACGATACTTATAATATTTAGAATAATAACATCACAGTGAGATATATCTGATAATCTTACCTTGTGAATGTTTTTATGAAAGTCATGAAATAAATAAAATTGTTAAAATATCAAGCTGTCTTAATAACAAAATATTTTTTTTTCATATTTCTACAAAATGTGATTTAGTTGTTCATGCATATCGTATGCTACAACAGTGAAAGCTGATTCTTAAGAATACTGTGATTTTTCAGTATATATATTGTCTTTTTTTTACTTTAAGGGAGATATTTATGTATTTATTTAAATTCTATCACCATCACTCTCGCTATGACGTTTGATTTAGCAACACACCTTTGATTTTCTTCTGAATCTTGTTCCAGCTTTTTCACTTGTTTTAGTAAAGCCTGTGCGTCATGTCTTTTTGAGTCAATCAGTGAGATGCTGAATGTCTTCTGTCTCTCGTATAAAGCAATCTGTTTCTTTAACGACATTGCCGCTATGTTGTTCTTTGTGTTAAGAAACTTCAATGAGCGGCTGTTCGGATTTACTCCCACGAGTGAAAGCCGTTGAACATCCGTCTCTGACATTTTAATAAAATGTTTATATCTCTAATCGAAAAAAATAATCCCTCCAGCCAAATATCTAATAAATATCCATTTTTAACAGGTTTCACATTATATTATCGTCTGCATTTAAACATATCAGAACATTGAATGTTTACTCATATTCCAATATTATCCATTATATTTCATGATTTCCCACGAAAAGAAAAAATATTCTCAGGATGCTGGCCGAAATCCACGGATTGTTAAGTCTTTGTTAAGCAAATAATCATGGTCTCTTGAAAAAAACCCGTGACGAATTTAAAGTCTGAACTTTTGATATGATCAAATACTGGTATTGAAATATATTTGAGACATGTATTTCATTGCGGATTAATTCGAATAATCCCATTGTTAAGTTATGGTCTTTTAATACCTTTGTATTAACTATATATTAAGCGGATATTTTGGGTAAAAAATTTCAAATTAATTTTGTAATGAATTGAATAACGTATCTTAGTAAAGAAGAATTAAAGGTCAAAAATAGACCAATGCATACAAAAAAAAAATAATAATAAAATAAGCTTTTTTCACATGAATGAGATATGTAATTTTTAATATTTATATTCTATTAAAGCCATGAATTTTTAGTTATCCTTATACAAATATTTCTCTATCAGATGTTTTCACTGAAATGGAAAAAGGCGCGGTTAGTACGAATATGTTAAACAAAGATACATTTTGATGCACTATTGAATGATGTTTAAATACTTATAGATTGTAAAGAAAGTAGTTACGGCAAAAGTGACCTGGTCGTATTGCACATTATGTCTCAAAACTTTAGCTATACACATACATCTTTTTCTTCATAAAAAGAGGCATATATGAGCCGCGTCACGACAAAACCAACATAGTGCGTTTACGACCAACATGGATCCAGACCAGCCTGCGCTTCCGCGCAGTCTGATCAGGATCCATGCTGTTCGCTTACCAACTCTATTACAAGTAGAGAAACTGATAGCGAACAGCATGATTCCTGATCAGACTGCGCGGATGCGCAGGCTGGTCTGGATTCATGCTGATCGCAAACGCATTATGTTGGTTTTGTCGTGACACGGCTCATATGTATTTAATTATTTTTTTAATAAAGGAATGTATTTATTGCGTGTTTCGTGTTTTACCACTGGTGATAGTAGTGCTGAATGTAAAATAATTTGTAATAAAGATAGTGAAATGTTAACAAAGTGGTATATTTTGACTTCCATACAAAATACCAAATCACTATAACTGTTCTTATTGTCAGAGAACAGAAGAAGCAAACTATGGTTAAGCTTTACAAACTATGACGAAAATGGTAACAGAACACCAAAAGTAAAAAGCTTTACAGAAATAAAATTAGAGCATTTTGAGGCTAAATGGGCATTTAAATCCTTTTGATATGCAATACAAAATTAAAATTACATTTTAAAGCACGATCATTAATGAAGATTTAAAATGGAAAGAGATTTTTATTATTGAAAATTTTGAACAATTAATGTATATGATATAAGAGAAGAGGCCAGAGGATGAAAGTAGAATAATACTTATGTTTTAATACTTATGTACTAGTCAACGGAACATATCGCATTAACTAAAATACCAAAGAAGTTAAGTACAGTTTAAAATTGAATTTCACTATGAAAAAAATATAATTAAGGTTTAAATATCGGTTAATTATTTATCTACTTTATAATGTACGACATCGAGCTGTATTTACAAAACTTGAAAAACTGGTTTGATTTTTTTATACAGAAGATTGTTTCAAGTGATAGTTTACAGATTTACTTTAATTGAAATGTCTGTCAAATTATACAGCATCAAAAAGACGTTCAAACTACCGTAAATATTATGTTAAAAAGCCATGTTTATGTTTTAATATAGAACTTCGATAAATTATCATTGAATAAGTATTCTGTTAATACAAGGATTCTGCAGAAGTTGCTTGTTCGATTTATTTATCTCTTTATGTCAATTTCTTAACATTTTCTTTCATGTTTGATATTCTATCATTTCTGTAAAATATCGTGAATTTAATGTACTTTTTCTCTACCGTTCCACTAGACTTTATGCAGAAAGCGCGTACATCTGTACATAGTAATACAGGAATGTGAAAACAATGAAAAAGAACGCAAACTCGTGTAAGTCTATGGCCGAAACGAACCCACGCTAGGTAAATGAACCAGTATCATATTATATTTTAAACCTCATTAAGATATTTCCAAGCTATTATGTTTCCACATCACTCGTGAAATGATGTAATTGATGACCCGGCGGGTGCATTTATTCAATTTTTGAGAGTTGTCGTTGTGATAATACAATAACGAATATATAAAGACTAAGACAAAGTTTCGCCGATTTCATGAATGATGCACCGTATCGCCTGAAAAAGTAGAGCAGATTCTTAAAAAAAATTGTCGTAAAAGTAGCAAAATGTAAACAAAGTAGTATTTTGACATTCATACTAAATCACTATAACTGTACTATAACCAAAAAGAAAAAGAAGCTGTTATAACTGGACGAGCGGTAATGTTGACTGGGACCTTGTTTAACGTATGTGCGCCGCCATTAAACTCGCCAAATTCCCCAAACTCAACTATTACCCGAACAATAGACCGCATGGTTATACACATTGATAAAAATCAAACCGGTTTTACATGATATTGAGATATCAAAAATGTTTACTAACCTATTAATTATGCACCAGTAAATTGACAGTACATCATAGCATAGTTGTCACTGCACGGAAAACTCGTGCATTTTGGATTATCTACAAACCATTGCCTTACACAGGAACAGTTTGGTAAGTAACATAAACTTATCTGCTTATTACTTATTTGTACATGTACATAATCATGACCATGATAGCAGTGTTAAAACTTTCCATAAGAATAATTTGTTCTAATCATATGTAATATTGCCGTACATTTAACAGTTTCAGACACAAGTCATTTAGTAGGACTGTTATTTAACCTAGACTTAGTCTGCTTGTTAAACAATTGGTAAATATCAGATTATTCACTGATATTGGGATCTAGTATGCTGTTATTGGTTATAAAGCTTTATTTCTTTTTCACATTGTAAAGGGTTGTAAGCTTAAATAACGTGATAACGTGAGCCTCTTGAACAAACCTGTCCATACAATCTCTAACGTCTCTGTTTCTTTAATATTATAAATAACACACATTATGCAGTATACTTGTCAGAAAGTCATAAGTTTCTTATTTATTGAAAAAATTACACACTAAGGGTGATATAAGAAATATCGCCCGGGAAATATTTTCTATTAGGGTGATGTGTGCCTGTTCATGTGATGTGCGAATCTCTGTTTTCCCGAAAGTTACAAAAACAACGTATTTTGGTAAATTTGAGGTTTGTTAATTCCAAAAAATGTATGTACAACCTAAACTGACAAATTGTCATATGTCATTTAAAATACCGTTCCGATGCCAATTCTACAATAACTTTTACATTCTCTGCAGTCTGATTTATATGTCTAAAACCATCTGATTGTATTTTATTAAAGACATTCTAAGTTTTCGTATTGATGTATGCAAAACATAATGACATAGTCACAGCCAATCTGTAACTGTGTACTTTGAGTTTTGAATTTGACAGATGGTAAAATAAAAAGCCATCAGGAAGACATTTGTTCACTTTTCATCTCGAGTACATACTTTTCATCATGGGAACATGCAATATTTTATTTGTCGTTTCACCTTATATGAGGGTACATGCGTGAACCTTTGCCTACCCTGACTGCTGATCTTTATCTTTTTTAATGCCTAAAGCCAAAACATGTACTATGTTACTATCATCGGAGAACATTGGCAAGTTTTAATGCAATTTTATTTTCAGTTTAAATATTTTTTATCTTTCTGCGATGAGATAAAATGTATTAACAAGAAATATAAAAAGTTTTATGATAGAGACATGTGACCAGAGGCGGTGTTAACGAAAATTAAGATAAATTGTAAGTCAGCAAAACAATAGATATTGAGATAGGAAATGCAATAAACACTTGGCCTAGCCGGAGACATGGTGCTCGCAATAAATGTACATATATGAAAAGTGAAGCGGGAGAAAAACTGTAATGGACTAGATCTAACTAAGTTTTCAATATCAACATTTAATCATGAGGAAATATTCTAATATATTTATGTTAGAAGGTATTCTGGACATTTGACTTGTAAGCGTTTATTTAGATTTAGATTTATTTACAAGAGAACTATTACAAATTATAATTGCGGTATTGCCTTTATATAATTAAAGATTGTTTAGGAACTCTATCAATCAAACGTCGATCGGGCGAAATATATATTATTGTCATTTCAGTAAACAGTTTACACGCTTTTATGGCTTATTTAATTTAGGCTTTTAGGTACAAAACAATCACAGTAGCACGCGGACCTGTTTTTCCCCTCTCTGTGTCTTGATTCGATGTACAGATGTTTGTTAAAATAGAATCGGGCTTAAAATTTTACGACACTAGGTAGAGAAATGAAATAACGCTTGCAAATTGCACGCAGAAATGTATAGCTTTGCTTTAGACAAAAACATGTTTTGTTTTACAAATAAGCTACTTGAATAGAAAGTGATAAGCATTTTCCACCACTATAGAACCAAGCATGCATGCACATTCGGCCAGGCTTGTCGATTGCTAATCTTTTATTTAATTAAAATCCTTTAAACTTCAAATGGCCTGTTCTAATCCAAAGCAGATATGTCTATAACAAAAATCGTACTGTTGACCAAGTACAAAAAATTCACCTTGCGTATGTATGTTTTTTTATTTGAAAACGGTGTTCTCTCTATTTTTTAGCTGGCTTTAAATAATGTCTGTAACGTTCTTTTTTATTATTTGTTTTTTTTTAAAATATTTCTATTATTGAATAGAAAAAATGGTCCTCTTTTCACTGTAAACTGTAAAACATTTCAAAAGGACTATGGATCACATTTGACTTTTTGTTTGCTTTGTATGTTGTCTAAATACATTTATATACTGTATATAAAGACATTATTTTTACTGCCGAGAAATTTTTCCTGTCTCGTTATAAACAAGTTTCCTTTATATTGGAATAATTTAAAAAAAGATAATGAAGTCTCGAAGTCATTCACTGGTCACACGAGTAAAAATGAACCCCTTCGCCCAAAACCCTCACTCTAATTAAGCTAAACCCCCCTCGAAAAAAACAACAAAAGAAAAACACCCCAAAGAACAACGTTACCATAAAAACAACAACAAATACAAAAAATAAGAAAATATACCAGTCAGTGCCTTTAGAAGATAAATTACGGTTTCTTAAATATGTTTATATATTAGCAACATATTTATGTGCATACCAATACATACATTATGTTAATGCCTTTTAGCCCCCAAACAAATTAACTCATTTTGGGCACCAATTTAAGCCCAGTTTTTGGATACCGGTTTCATATTATGTAGACGTTTACTGTACAAGGAGGACAAGCCCTGTGATCGCTTACTTTTTTACGTTCATCTAGATATAGCAGTCAGTAAAATTTGTTTTGTGTTCGGATGGACAATTGATAGTGTGCAAATAAATCGATACGCAAATAATTAGGAAATTAATTCATTCTGCTGCTTTTCGTGATTAAAATAATTAAAATTTTCTTGGCTTGTAAATAAAAGGTTGCCCATATTTAATTTTACTTCATTCGGGTAGGTATCACAATGAGAATAAGACAAACAAATAATAATTCTGAATGAACATGAATTAAACCTGATAAACCATCTTGTGAATCAATAACTGAATGTATCTTTTATTAGATATTTGTATTCTCTTTTTCTAAGCTACCGACAAAGATCTGATCCTGAAACACAGAATTGTTTATTACTTTTGATACAAAGAAAAATGGAAAGCAATATGTCTGACACGTTGTTAAGACTAAACGAAAGCCTCGTACAAATGGAGAAAAGACGAGCTGTGGACGGTGAAAACATGGATCAATTCTTTCTGATTGTCATGGGATTTATAATTTACCGTAAGTTTACATTCTTTGCATTTTTGTTACAATTACCTCACCCTTGCCTTGTATATTCACGATTCTTCATAGAAATACTATACCTATGTCAAACTCAAGTTCATTTCTCTGTAATGATTATAGAGAGTTTCAACTCTAATTTTTTACATACATGTATCAGGAATACAAACTCTGTATTGTTTAAAAAGAATGCAATTTGTACTGTTTGAGATGAATACAATTTGTACTGTTTATGAATAATACAGTTTGTTTTGTTCATGAAGAATACAATATGTAGTGTTTATGAATAATACAATTTGTACTGTTCATAAGAATACACTTTATACTGTTTATGAAGAATACCAATTTGTACTGTTTATGAAGAATACAATTTCTACTGTTCATGAATTACTGGAAAAACAACTGTATATCTATATTTAAATTTGAATTCGTAGAGGAAGTCCACCAAGATGGCTAATTTCATGTTGATACTGAGTAGAAATAATGGCGACAATATTTATGAACGGCGGTATTGTTAAACTATGACCCAGTCGCAGTTACACGCAATCACTCTCATCTATACAATAATGTTGTTATTTATTGTTGTCTCTATTTAAATAATACAATATGTCACAGCTATTATACATGAATATTTATTCCTCTGAGCATCATTTTATTTTATGAGATATTTATTGAAACAATCGTTCATTTATATTATATCATTACATTGCAAGAACGCTATAGAGATGTGATTTGTTTTTCAGTATGTAGTGCTATATGTTCATGTGTGGTTGTGTTGAACTATTAATGAGGCTGTATATTAATGTATTTGATATATTGTAGAGATTTGTGTCGAGTTATTCTCTAGAGATGATTGCCTTCAAAATAAAAGATAGTTCCTTTAATGTGGAACTAATTAACTCATGAAGCTTATCATTGCGTGATACGTCGGCTTACTGTCATTTTTATATTTGAAAGACATGATTGAATTTATCAGGACATGTTAAAATCCGGAGCAATCTGTTTATGGAATTAATTTGCTTCACATTTTTTTCAGGATGGCATTTATCTAAGGAATAGTTTCTTTTAAAATATCAATTTTTCAAAACAAAAAGTCGTTTGGATTAGTAATTATGATAACAATATTTGATGTTAATAAAATGCTTGAGTGAATTTATTGCAGGAATATATTTGGTTATCTAAAATGCTACTATGTGTATCAAGAACAAATTCGAATGTGAATTTTGAAAATAATTGAAAATAATTTATTTACGTTTTGAGAAATGAATGTGACAAACATTTCGAAATTACTGGTTGTATTACAACAATTAGAAGTACAACAGGATATATTAGAGGGCAACATAGATACCCTGTTTCTTGTCGTCATGGGTGTAATCATTTACTGTACGTACCCGCCTTTTACTGAAAATAAATTGTTTTGATGTTTCATTCAGAAAGTCTTTTCACCATAAACAAAATTGTTTTTATTATAATTATGTAAATATCATTTGGAGCGATTGTCATTTTCCCCTCCGAATTGGCTGTCGATGTACTTGAATGTACTTCCATGACTCCTCCGCACCATATTTTTTCTTCTCGCGGCTGTTGTTTTATACCTCGCCAAAGACATTGAAATATTTTCTCCAGTCAGCTTACAAAAGGTCAATGGTTCAACTGACTAGAATATTTGCTCGAAGACATTAGATGTCTGTCTTCACCAGTAACTTTGGAAAAAAAACCAAACATATATTACCGATATGACTTTAAAACCTACCGAAAATTTGTATGTAGATTTAATTATAACCTGTTTCATGTTACATAAAACACTTCTTTTGCATCTGTGCTAAGCCACCCAGCTAGTTTGAGGAGGTGTTCATTACAAATAGTTGTCTTAATGTAAATGTTGATATAAAAAATAAACTAGCTTAAATTTACATTGAAAGTCTTTCAAAATTATATATTTTGACATACTGAGCTTAACAAATATTACACATGAATAGCTAGCTATTTGAAAGTTTTATATGATTATTTTTATGACCGCTCGTTCTGTCATTAATTAAAAACATCCGACTTATAAAAACTTGTTTGAGCAGGTATGAGGTATTATTTACAGTAAATAAATGCAGGAATCTTAATATTATGAATAGTGAATTTGTTGATAATGTATTAAAAGAATATATTAACACATATATAAAGATAACATCAACAACTGTACATTTAATGGTATATCAAAACGATATACACCTTACCATACAAATGATGGTTTACTAATTAAACTTACACAGATTTATTAGTGATATATTTGTTCTATTAAAACGAAATAAAAGCACGTTCTGAACTGCGTTAAATCAAGTAATAAATCATTAATAGCTGCTTTGTGATTTATTTGAGTTCATTAAGAACTTTGGAAACAATTTTGTTACTTTTTATTTTCATTCTCTTTTTACAGTAACAGAAATTATTTCATCAAAATTATTTCGCTCACGAATTACTATTTCAGTAGTTCTATCGCCCATGTTATATAGGTTATGACATATTTGTTACAGTTGTATTTTTCTAAAGCCTAGTCATTTATGTTACAGACACAATATTCTTTTGTAACATATACATTGTCCATATAACAATTATTACGTTATTGATATTACCGTAATTGCGTTATTCTCATTACAGTAATGCAGGCTGGGTTTGCGTTTTTAGAGGCAGGAGCAGTGAGGAGCAAGAATACGGTTAATATACTTATCAAGAATGCTCTCGACTCTTGTAAGTATACAATGTGTACGTCTACATCATATTGTACTCTTGGGTGTTAGTCTCATATAATGTGTACATATAACTTTGGCTTACCCCGATTGATTTAAAACATCGGCTGTGTGAATAATTGTGACAACATAAAATATTCCCGCTAGACTTCTTGAAATAAACGCACTTTAAGTAGGATTTGATGAAACAGCGCTCTTTAAGTCTTTAAGTACTGTATGAACGAAACGACGTCCTATAGCACCTGTGTGGATGATAAAGCGCTTTTTATGTTGTGTGTGGGTGAAAGGACGCCGGGGATAAAATCTATCTATCCTCATTTCTGACATTTCTTGTACATAGTAATGTGTATCATATGTTAAAATCATTATATGTTATTAGCTTCAACATAATTGTAGCACATAGTTTCATTTTTAAGTATTTTTTCATGTCATTTATGTTGGCAGTTTTTGGAGGAGTGTCATACTGGCTGATTGGCTACGCTCTTGCGTTTGGGAAGGGCAACTCGTTCCTAGGATACACCTACTTTGCTCATAGTGGCCTACCAGACAATATGTATGCTCATTGGTTCTTCCAGTTTGTATTTGCCGCCACGGCGGCTACCATTGTGTCAGGAGCTGTCGCAGAAAGATGTGATTTCACCGCCTACCTTATTTACAGTACCTTAGTTACCGGTAAATATTTCACAATGTTGATATAAAATATAGTGTAATGGTGCATTTATGCATGCATGTGTACCCCTTGTGGCTGACGGGTTGTCTTTAAGGGCTAAGGCATCAGAATTGCAGCCACCGTTTTCCCTGTGTGACCGTAAGAGGCGACTAAATGTGTTCGAATAACAGGAGTCAATGCCTCTTTTAGCTCAAGCTGGTGAGATTGTTTTGACCCTTGGTGTTGCTTTAAGTTTGTAACACCCGAGGGTAGCCAAAATTATTTTTCCTGTTTCTGCGCCATATGATACAAGTGTGTTGTTACGCCGTAAAACTAAACAAAACAAACTCACAAACAAACAAACTGCATGTTTTTCTTTTACGTAGACATTCTCAGTATCTGAATAACCTGTTACGAAATTTATAAAATCATCACTTCTTTTCAAAAGACAGAGATGTTGGTAAAGTGATTCTTATATAAAAGGTCATAACAAAGTTACACTTAGCAACAGGTATGAAATGTGTGAACTTGTCACCTTACAATATATTAAAAATAAATAAAAGCCAGAAATATACTAGATTTATTTTCTCTGCAGGTTTTATTTACCCAGTAGTAACACACTGGGCTTGGTCTGATGAGGGATGGCTTGTAAATGGAGACACATATGAGATAGACGGGGAAATTGTTACTATTGGATACAACGTAAGTATATAGTATATAAGAGATAGATAAATATATAACCATTATATAATATATATGTTATTATAAAATTTGGAATGAAGAAAGGTTTTGCATGAATGTCCAATTCCTCTATATATTTCAAGTATTTGAACTCAATACAGATGTTTAAAAAGTGCGTAAAAACTGTTGACTTCGTAAATTAAAATTTCTACAACGTGTTACAAATTATATTGTTAAACATTTCCGTCACATTCACGATATAAAACACGGTTGTTCTTATATGTTTCAATAATTCTCAACATGTGATGAAAATCATTGATTTGACACATAAAAAAATGATGTAACAAAATTATTAAGCACAGAGTTTTACAGTTCTGCTAAAAACCGGCACATACAATTACATTTGATAGCTATAAAAGTTGTATTTAATGTAACGTTTTAATGAAGAAGCTAACATGAACTTCTGCTGTTCTACTTGTATCATCTTTCCCAAGGGAAACATTTTTTTCAACATGTTTCTATCTTTTATTTTATCATGCTACCCTTTATCCTTACCTGAATCAATATTAATAATTCAGCCTCTAATGTATCTATGTTTTATTAATGTTGTACTATCTAGTCATGAGAAGATTATTTAACTAGAACATGTTGGTTATACAACTCTTAATATGCATGACTTGTTTATTGATTAAGCATTAAATGAGGAAAGTACTACATGTACATATGTATTCAAAGAATAGTGGAATAAAGAAATGTGGAATAAAGGCGCTATTCTACTCATTTCATCAAGGCGTCGGTGTCGGCGTATTGTTACACTTTGGTTAAAGAAGTTTGCTTGTAACTTCAAACCTGTCTGAAATTTTAATAGATCACTGTCAATCTTCAAAACTACGGTGTATTCGTTTGAAACTTTATGCATATCTTCGGGGCCATAATTGAAGAATACTACCAAAGCCACATGACCTTTGAGAACTTAGAAAATTCCTTGGTATTCTTTGAATAAAGCATCGATTTTTAAAAATCCTGATGGTATTTACTGGACACGCGATTCATGTCTTCGCTATTTCATAACTGAAGGTCACTGTCCTAGGTCAACAGCTCTTGCATGTTTTTTAAATGAATTACGGTCCTTTTAGACTTACGAAATTTTTGTCCATATTCAAGACTCATATAACTATGCACATGTAATGTATCTCGGATGAAATCTTCCTCATTTACCCAGGCTCTAGTTTTACTATCAAGCACTAAGAATAGTCGAGCTCGTTGTTCTACGGCAGCTCTTGTTATTGTATACAATTACCAATGAAATTATAAGAAATACTCTTAAGAAATATACATCAACACCAAATTCACTTTGTCAACTTCTAAGTTCAAAGGAAAAACATGTATCCTTCAATTGTACTCACATTATAGTGTTCATCTTAAATATAGTCAGCTATAAATAGGTTATGACAAAATACAATCAGCATTTTACGAAGGATAGCTTTGAGAATTTAAGGTATAAATTTTGCAGCTTGTGTGTTGACATTGATTTAGTCGGGATAGTGCTATCAGCATGTCCCATATGGTTATACCCATGGTGAATAATTCATCAGACTGTAAAAGGTTTTTGTATTAGACAGACCTTGTGTACTGGTGTAATGACCGTCGGAAACTAACATTTCATTGTGTGTATTTTTTTCGACGAGCCATCCGAGTATTTACGTTTAAAGTATTATGTTTTTGCTCGTTCGTGTTGGAAGCTAAATGCCTAATGAAACACTCTCGAATCCCACCCTCGGACAAACCAGTACTAAGCAATGAGTGTAAGGTTATTGCTCATAGAAACAACGACATGCCCTTACGGGGTTTGAACTCACGCGTCCAGTATAGTCCGACGGTATCCACAAATATGTGTACTTATAATTTGACGTGATTTAAAATTTGACGTTAGTATCAGGTTTACATTTTATATCTTAATATATATACGATCATATAGTCATAGAGCTTAACAATAAGCTGAAATTAACTGAAGAAACTTGTAAACAGGTCGTGGGGAAAGAACTTGAAAAGAGCTTGAAAGTTATGCTTTTGTTATATAAGTAACATGATATTGTCATGCTTACATGTACTAAAATGTTTAATACCTTAGGACAAGTGATTTCAATAAGACTTTGTATACTTCAGGATTTTGCAGGAAGCGGGGTTGTGCACATGGTAGGTGGTATTGTTGCATTTGTCGGGGCTTGGGCTCTTGGTCCACGTATAGGAAGGTTTGATAACCGTACTGGAGAACCCCTTGAAATCAGAGGACACTCAATTCCGGTAAACAGTGACAATTTTTACACCACTTAAACTTCCTCTGAATTTCCAAGAACCTGTTCTTAAATATCATTATACCGGAATGACAATTTTATGCATTATAAAATTGCAAGATAATTGTTTCCAAAAAAAAAAGAAGCACAACCCACTATCTACAATAATTCAAAGTGTTCTAAAGTGTTTCTTACAATAATTTTTGCATTTTTTTTCTTGTACATGTAGCATGGCGTTTTTGTGTTCATCTCTTTAACTTGACTCAGAACTGCGAACGGTCTACTTTTCAATGTTTTGTATTCTTCCGCAGTCAACCCACAAACGATCTACTTTTCACGCTTAATTATTCTTCGTTCATAATCAATCTCTGCAACATATCACAATGTTTCTGTGAAGCACACATCGTGATCTTGTAATTACAATTGAAATCAGGGCAGTAGATATATGTCTGATAATTTAACTCAAATCAATAGAATATTAACGAGTTTGATTTAACCTGCTTATTGAATATAGAACCATTCAAAATGGATACAAGTCAGTCATTGACACTGCTTATATTTGAAACTGTGAAATGTTGTGGTAATAGTTTACGTAATATTAATCAATTGTGGTCCATGGGGAAATTTAAATGCTTGTGAAATACAGAATAAGTTGTAATTGAGAATTCAATATGTTACATTTTCATATTGTTGTATCATAGTTTGGGGACCTTTCTGTTGAAAATGTGTCGGAGTTCAATCGTATACATATACATGCACAGTGCCTTAACTGGAGTGTAGGTATTAGTTACCCGCACTCCAGAGCATGCCCAATGATTGGTTCATTTTTGCTGGGGTTTACTTACTGTGATGGCAGAAAAAAGGAAAGCGACAGAAATATCATATTCAGATGCTCGTTTCTTGGTTCCTTTTTTCTGGGGTTTCATACTGTGACAGCAGGGAACGTGTTTTTATGTTTGACTATTATACAAAAGAGAAAGAACATCAAAACACTCGGCAATCTGATTAATACTCCCTCGTACAAATCAGATGGCCTCGTGTTTCGATGCTCTTTCTATTACTTGTATGTATGAAAACATTTAAAATGGCGACATATAATCGCCTCACATGTATTTCCCTCGTCCATATTCATTTCAATAAATTTCTTCTTTTTTCAAAGTAAATAAAGTATTGATGTTGTTATTATTATTTTATAATTTCAGTTTGCTTCTCTTGGTGGTTTTATCCTTGTATTTGGGTTCTTTGCTTTTAACGGATCTTCCCAGGGTTCAATCTCAGCGGAAGGAGATGGCGCTGCAATCGCCGTTGCTGTCGTGAACACAGTATTGGCAGCAAGTGGCGGTGCTTTTACAACATTGATTATGAATAAGATTAAATACTTCGGTGACAAGAAATGGAGTTTTCTGACAACGTTAAACGGTTGCCTTACTGGAATGGTATTCTGTCTAATTTTTTCACTGTTTCTTTACACATTTTATCAACAAATATCTTTCGTCATAGATATGTTGTTACAGATATTAACTCGATTTAGTTTAGTCGTTATTTATTGACTGCTTCAATTAAGTAATAATTTGGACGGCATTCGTTTATAAGATTATAAGAGAGAATATTACATAGCTTTATTATAAGACTTATCACCACTAGAACATTAAGAATAGACGAGTGCTTTCGTTTCCACACGTTAGATACTCAAAAAACATATATTTCACATAAACGTTACATCACATATTTAAGATTAATATTGGCAGGTAGCAATATGTGCAGGCTGTAACCAGTTTCAATCCTACATGGGTTTTGTTATTGGTATATTTGGCGGTGTTTCATACATGATATTTACATGGCTCGTTGTAAAACTGAAAGTTGATGATCCCCTTGATGCCACTGCCGGTAACTACATGTATCATTTATATTCTTAATAGAATTTGTTATGTAATTCACGTGTTATTTTTATCTCAACAAATGTGCTTGAATAGTCCATAAAATAGTGAAAATAGTGCAACACTTAAACTGTATAATTCTCAAAAATCAACAGCAATAAAATATGGTTCATATAAATGGTATTTGAGTAACGTTTTTTGAAACTATAAAGGAAACCAAAATTAAAAGCTTTTGAGAAATAAATATAAAAGCATTTTAAAGCTTAATTGACGTTTAAGACCCATTACATATTGTGCAATTTGCTGTTCTTCACCTTTTCTTTTTCAATTTTTTCAAAAAATAGTCCTGTCTTTTTTTCTCACATTTTTTCCCAAAACATAAATGTTTAAAATATATGTGAATATAAATTTTAAATGTTTTAAGATGAAACAAATTTTTTTTTTAAAAATTTCATTTTTTTGGAGGGGACTTTTTGGTGGTGTTGATGTCCATTTTTTCCAATGATTTGGGAAATTTTATACAAATGGGCCTGCGGTCTGCTTACGTAAGAAAAAAAATTTAAATTTTAGAACGGCAAAAACAATGTTTTTTGTAAAAAAAATATAACATATACACATATTGGGTACTTCTGCTTGTAAACTCCTTTTAAGCGTATCTTTTAAAAAATGATGTTACTGGTGATACAATGTTAAAGGCTCATATAAATAGCTCTGTTTTGCTGTAGAAACCTTCTAATAGAATTTATAATTCTGCACGTTTGTAACGTCGCTTTTCATTGGATAATCGCGCTGCTGTCAATTTATGATGAAGTCTCATTTTTTATTTGTTTGGGTCGTCAGACCAAACAAATAATGGTAGCAAAATTTCAGACTCTGATGCTGTTAATTGCAAATGCCGAAAGTAGTCCGCTTTTTTGAAGCGGTTACTTCCCTTTATATGTACACTAACGCCGAAAAATTCAGGGGAGATCACTGCGTAAAGATGGTCAAATGACAGGCGCATTAATTTTCAAGCAAAATAGTTCCCGAATGGTCGAAGATTTCTAATATTGTTTTATTCTTTATAGATATACATGCTTATAGTAAGCTCCATGATTATTTACATCTGTGTTAAACAACAGTTAGTTAATATGATTTTCTTCAGGACGTTAACATATAACTTCACAGTGGCCGAGGGGTTTGCGCGCTCGCTTAGGAAGCGAGAGATCTAGAGTTCAAATCCCAGCTAAGGCAACTTTTTTCAAATTGTTTAAGTCAAATAAACATTGAATTGAATATCAGTGTTGCAATTAGTCTTATAGCCAATTTACTACAATTAAAACGCTGAAAACCATTGGTGGCACTATACAAAAACAAATTGGTTTATATTATCTCACAACCTTCATACCTTTCTGACATTCTGAGACCCAAACAAATTCAGCGCCTTCCGTGCTTTAATTTTCTCTATGCTTGCTGTATAATAAATTTGTTATAAATATTTGTAATAGGATATATGGCCGTATATAAGCGGCTATTTGAAGTAAAACCCTCGCCTAGCGACGACTATTACTATTACAATGTAATTTGTTTTAATCTACAATGTTATACATGTATGTTGATAAGACAATTTATAAAGATGATACAATAGTAATTTATCATTATAATCATTGAGGTAAGATAATGTAAATGGAATTGATAAACACCAAAGTTTTTCTGTCATGTTAAGCTATAGCAACATGTAATGAACCAATGAATCATGTTTCAATATGGTATTAGAATATGAGATTTACCAGTTATCAGATAATTATTTTGTACTTTAATCTATTTTTATATCAATTAACGAAACATCATTCATTGCTGCAACTCGTTGATTCTGAATGCAAAAGCCTTAAATTATCAGAAAATTGTTTATTAATTATATTGAATCTGAGACTTTTTCTGTATTATAAGAAAGAAAATTGTGATAAATTCGTTGAAATAATCGCTGAAATATAATTCAGATATTTATTTCACAACTTATCAAACATACTTAATGACCTCCAGGCATTTGCGCGTCGTGATGTTCCAATATATAAAAAAATCTGGTTTAAGTTTTGTCTTTAAAATCTTCAAAACAACTGTTACTCATTCACTTGAATGTTAATAAATAACTAAGGATCATAATTGAATCTGACAAGTTATCATAAGAACTCCATCCTTCGTGTAACAGTTCCTCTTCCGTGATTATTCATGCTTTTTATTTTATTATTGAAGGTATCTTCCCAAATCCCATTACTCTGACATGGATTTCGACTGAATAATGATAAACTTAAAAAATTCCTTGTGCACTATCCAAAACTCTTAATGAATGTTCTCTGTTATTTCCTACAATATGCAGTGTCTTGTTTTTCGACATGTATCAATATTGACAGTAGTCGAGCGCGTTGACCAACCTACAACTCTTGTTTTATCATTATATTACACTTTCAATCGTTACTTTACAGCATTTAGGATGGCAGCTAGCCGGTCTTTGTGCGATATTTGTGTGGTCAGCCATTCTCAGTATCATCTTATTCTTCACTCTCAAGAAAACAAAAATGCTCCGTGTTTCTTTTGAATATGAGATGAAAGGTGTGTATTATGTTTTATAATTTGATGATGTTTGTAACATCGATTTGTTTTATGTTATTTATGTACCCCGCTGCTGCAAATATGTCTTTAATTTTCTTTTTAAGCCACCTGCAAAACAAACATGCTCCGTCCAACCAAATCTTGGCAAGTTACATAACTGTGGCTTCTATTTTCCACAGTTATTTTCCCATTTAGCTCTTAGTTATGCTACTACGGCAAATTGGACATATCTTAAGTTATAACTGTACTTTGTTGCTATTGCTGTTGGGTTTTAAGTAACACCGACACTGTAATGGTCATATGGCGAGGTTCCAGGCTTAATAGTGGCGGAAGACCTCATGTGCCTATCCGTACATTATTCCAGGCACGAACTTGCACCTAAGTAGAACCACTGACGTTTCGTAAGACAACATTCAGAGAATGTGTTATGTTATTATGTTTGATAGAAATTATGCGGGCAATCATAAGTATTGATTTGTGTATTAGGTTTGGACATACCAAAACACGGAGAAACCGCGTATCCAGCGGAGGCGTACGGTCATGGTTGGGGAGAAAAGGGCGACACTTTAGCTGGTCTGGCGAAAACAGCAATCGCATCTAGTACAGTAACAGCCATCAATGAAGGTTAGACTTTCATTTTCTGAAAATCATTGTATAATAATTCTGAAAAAAAATATTGGTTGTTATAATCTGTATTTAATACATGAAAGACATTCATAAGTATTCAAAGCCAAAAAAATCTAACTTAGACTTAAAACAAATCAAACAGTAAATTCGATCCTGGTTGACCTTAAAACAACAAACGAGCTCTTTAGAGAAATTATATATTCTGTGAAACCTTTAACACCTTTGAATGTTTTCGTAAATATTGTTTAATATAACATAGATTTGTTTCTTGTTCAACTAGGAAACATTGATTTTCGTTATTCTTAAAGAGCTCCACGAGTGTCACGTTGTAACAAGCAATTAAATGTCCATTAGATAGGTGTGGTGAATTACGTCTTTCCTGTCAATAAATCAAAAATAACATTTTGTTATAATATTTAGATGTTTCGATGAGATTACCACAAAAAGCAAGCCCTGGAGAGAGTCCTGAAGTTGATGCCATGAATAACAAAAATGGTCACGTGAACAAGTCATTTACTGGATCATCAACACAATTATAAATTGAAAATTCAGAAGTTGTATATATGTACATGAGTATTTCAAATACGAAGTAAATGACAAAAAGCCTTTAAATTCCTTATGGATGCCATTAAATAATCTTACAAATATTTTACTTACATTGTACACATGTATATTGAATATTGTTTTTATATAATATTTTTATCTTCAGTTATATTTTAATATTTGTTATATCACATTTTGATATCTTATACTTGAAGCTGATATTTTATATATGTTTTATAGATAGATTTTCAGCGTTTACTGTCATTCGAAAGCACATTTCTTTTCATCTGTTCAATATCTTTAAGTGATTGTCAAATATATACGCCACTAATCTGATACTGTCCTCATCTTTACTAAGTAACCCTTCACTTGCTTTTACTAAATTTGTCGATTATAAACATTGAAAGGGTCAATATTTTGTACAATGTATCATATATTTTAAAGAAAACATTCCTTGTATATCATATAATGTTTTCTCTCATTTTAGTCATATTTTGTGTATTTGGATAATTTTTTACACTAATAAAATTATTTATATAAATGTTTGCTTAGTTTTCTGTGTTACTCTGTATCGTGACAGTATAGCCATATTCTCTTGACTCTGGATAAAAATTGCAGAACTATATAAACAGTAAAAGTTTAGCACCTAACTTTGAATTCAATTGTATTAAACCATATCTTCTATCTTAAACTAACGTAAGGATGGTCTAACTAGCTGTTTCGGGACGCTTAAATAAACTCCAGTATTACACAGTACTCAGTATAGTGTACCGTTTTTTATTGACCAACACAGTTTAGGTCATATGGCGACTTTCCAACTTTACTAGTGGAAGAAGACCTCTGTATTTCAGGCACAAACGGGCACCTGAGTAAGCTAGCTGGAATGCATACTCATATGAAAAATACGAAGACGACTCGAACCTACAGCTTTGAGATGCAGGTGTTTTGAAGTCAAATACCTTAACCAATCTCTCACGGACACACCTTTTAATATAGTAAAAAATAAGCAGCTGTGATTAGTCTTGCCTCCCTTATAACAAAACAAATGGAAGTAACAACACACAATTATCTGGTATAGTGAAAAGTCCGAAACGTTCCGCGCTAGCCTGATGAATTATCATGAACAGACGACCGATAACTTTACTCATTGTTTGGAAACGTCCAAGATACAAATGTAAGTAGAAATGAGTCGGATAAAAAAGTAACCACTAAATGCTTTGATAATATTTGATACAATAAACTGATATATGCCGATGATACTGTACTTGTAAAAGCAGAAAATGAAAATTATCTTCAAAGTACATGTATGTTACATATTCTTAATAACTTGTGTGTTACTAGTTATAAAATCCAACATTCTACGCTTTCTAAACTATTTATTGTCTAGATTATGTGATTGTAGATGTACTATTACAAAATACATTTGCTAATCTTTTAAATATCATTTTATTAAATGTAACTTTTTATATTATTTTCTTTAATTTCTCGAGACAAGTCAAGTCAAGTATGGTTTACAGTTAACAAAACTGCTAAAAAACTTTAAGGATGCTTTTAATTTACTTAGCAAAGGCTGTTCACAAGTCTGTGATATTTTAAATTTACATACGTAAATAGTATTACATTTTTTGTCTCTTATCAACTTACGGATTGGCAGTGTACATATGTTATTGTATTGTATATGTAAACGCAAAGGCCGAACGTTAACAGTTGATGACTTCAATGACCATTTTAAAAATCGGTTTTGATTAAAAATATTAATTTTTAACTCGGTTGCGAATCAATTCTTGCAAATTATATCAATTACTCTCAGCTTCCTGGTACTAGCCAGAATCCGAGTAGCTCGGTCTATCCGAGCCTGCAACATTTTCAATTATTCTTACTATAGGGATTCCGTTTTTATCTATTTCATTTAATGAGCCATAACTATATTCGAAGAATATTTCATTTTCAAACTGAGAAGAAATATAAAATAGCTATGTCACGGTTTTGAACATCTTCAAATAACATTTACATATAATCTGGGAGACAAAATGATATTGCACGAGAACAGAGACTCCTGTCCATAAGTATTTCCATTTTATCCTGATTTTAGAAATCAATTTTAAACAATATTATTGTTGCTGGCCAGATATAAGTTAATTAGAAAAATTGTATATCGGTTCTACTGAGTTAAGTAGTTTCTTTTTATTTTGCAGTGAAAAAACTCGCATCTTATAAATAACAACCTTTGTCAGAAACATTATTCTAACATATCCAACTTTTATTCATTGTTGTATATTTGTAGAAAGGATATGTACTTTATTTACGTTGTTTAATTGTGACAATTGTTAAAGTAATTTGACTAACTTTCTCCAGACAATATTTCATTCGGCATTTCTGTCAATTATCATCTTTGTATTGGGCATAAATGTGTATGTTTAATGCTGAATAAAATTGTGTGTTGTATAAACATATATTATTGTATTAACATACAATGTTATTCTATAAACATATAATATTATTGTATAAACATATAATATCATTGTATGCTTAATGCAATAAAATAATTGAGTATTGTAAAGGAGTAGTGTAAATATCCAATACCTAAATTTAAACTTTCAGGTTTAAAATGTCATATAGATTTGTAAAATATATTTATAGACAATAGGGTACACAATTGATCAATTATATATGCTTTAATAAAAACGAATGTTATGTTTTGTGATTTAATAAATGCGTTTAAACATGGGAGCTACACTTTTATTTGTAATTTTCTGTGTAATCTTTGGTGTATTTTGGAGTTTTGAATCACTAATATGTTCATTGATTGCACTATTTCTGTGCATACTTTATGATATGTATCATTTAGTTAAAACTTTTATTTTCTCTTGCTTTTACAAAATAACGAGACGATTTAATTCAAGAAAGTTAATGGAAACGAACAGTTTTAAAGGTATTTAACCGTTTATGGTACATTTTATTACTCGAAAAACTAAATTTGTTATTCAAGAATTTATTTATTTTGTGCTTAATATTTAAAATATGTGTATCATTCATGAGTAATAATACAAAAATATTCAAAACATTTCCAGGCCAGTCTGTGTAGATGATTTCAAACTATTATAAGGCTTTCCTCGTGATTAACAATAGCTTATAATGGACAACTAACCACTTTTAAATAGAAGATGCATGGTTTTAGTGTTGGTGGGGAGCGAGAGGGATGTTACACTTTTTTTATTATCCCTCATGTACAGACTCATTCAAGCTGAGACTTCAGTTTTCATTATTATTATTACTAACAAGGGATCATCCTTTTTCCAGATTTTATAAATCCTGCTAACTGCAAAGATACCGTTGAACTCGACAACAAAAATTGAAAAGATACCATTTACCTTTTGTATTTATAATGCACAAGTCTGTATGAATATTTAAAATATAGATGAAACAACGTGGTAATTTGGTATCATCATTATCAATCGTCTCAGTATTGTAAGTTATTTTTTCATACTAAAATCCAAAATGGACTGATTCAAATCACAGATTCAGCATAGTTATTGTTAAAGTTGGTTGCCTTTTAAATGTCTTATAATCTTTTTTTATTGCAGTTTTGTGTCTCCCAACAGACACAGACTTTAATTTGCTTCTGACAGAAAGATGTCTGTTGAGAGAATGCGACTTTGCTCTGCTAAAGTTTTGGACAGAAAACTATGTGTATGATGCTTTAAGCTCACGAAAGGCGGAGCTACTTCAATCAGGGCGATATACATGCTTCAAATATCCAATCAGGGTGTTTGAAGGCTTTGATATTGTTACTAAAGTAAGTGTAATCACTACATGAATATAAGTTATAATATAAGAAGTGTAAGTTTGACGAAGAATACGTGAATTGCAAAATTAATACAAAAAATATTGATAAGAGTATGTGTTATCATAATGTCACAAGCGATACTTTTATTGAAACCATTAAATGAACAGTTTACCATAGCAAGTTGCTGTCAATCTCATTTATTTATTAAACACAATTATATGAATGAAAAAAGGGGTAAATTCCAATTAGCCACTAAAAGTATAAGAATAAACTTTATGTGATGTTAAATATTTCGGATGCTTGATGGTCTAATGGAGCAAAATTCGTTTGAAGTAATCATGAATACTGGTAAAGATCAAGACATTGTCGATTTATTCATTTATACATGTGATGTATTATGTCATTTACTGTGTTCTGTATATTTCAGATATCATTCATTGATGAAAAATCGTTTTATGTAACACAATCTATTCTAAGGAACGCCGATAAATGTCTGTGTGCCACCGTGTTATCTGTTCATCAAATTGTCGGGACAAAGATGTCTACATTATTGGGGAGCAAAAGTACCACCTTGAATAAATCCGAGTTTGAAAATGTAGTAATAACGTTCCAAGAATTCCATTCGGATTATTTCAAACAAGTGAAAGATTCCTGGAAAGGTGTTTGATGGTAGAAAATAATATATGAAACAAGTAGTGTCGTCTAATAAATTAATATAAAAATAATTTGTGTTTGAGTTTACCTTGTGGTTGCTTAATTGAGATTCATATACTTCTTTATGATCGGGACACAAATACTTTTTGCCCATATTCCAAGGAAACACTTGAAATAAATGTTTTTATGACAAGTTATGTACACAACATGTAATGTTTAAATGTTTCACTAATATAAGCGCCACTTTCTTTTTCATTGACACAGAATTGACATTGAAATAATAATCATGATATCAATAATAATAATAATAATAATAATAATAATAATAATAATAATAATAATAATAATAATAATAATGATGATGATGATGATGATGATGATGATGATGATGATGAAGATGATGATGATGATGAAGATTATTTAAAATATTTAAAGAGTTTATCGAAGTTGAAGAAAATTTACTGAAAGTGAGCACAATTTTGCGACAATTGGTTTCGTTTCCTCACAAATTGGAAAATTGTTCCTTCTTTATTCCTACTTAGTGACATTTATAAAGCTAACTTGTTGATACTAACCTTTATGCTTTTTAAGCAAAATATTATTTAAAATATCAGTTGTCATTAATGTTAGGCTTAAAATTCTCTGTATATATATGTATGTTCATGACATGGTCAATTAAATTTACAGAATTTGTAATTTCCGAAACGGTGGGTTTTTTTAAAAGGTGTTTACATGTTTAAAGTTATCAATGTAGGTCATTTATACTACATTAATACACTTGTTACTAAATATAGTAACAAAATTGCCTATGATTTCAACTGATTATGAGTGTCACGTGACCTATTATGAGTTTGCGGCCCGGGGCCGAGAACTAGTTATCAGCCCGCAGAACATGTGCACGTGCACAAACTGAAACAATGACGTCATATTTTACGTCATCAAACAGTTAACTGTAAAAGTGAAAGTAGGTTATCAGCACGAATCGCTTTATTTTATTATGAGAGCTTAAGCGTATTTCGTACAAACACATTTTTGTTACTATTGAAATTTGAAGAAATAATACGACAAATTCATTCCGAAAAAAAAAATGAAAATAAAACTTGCTTCTAGATTCTACTGCTTTGAACACACAAACAGTAAACATCTCTGTACAGAACAGTAGAAGTGTAGACAAGAATTTCAACGAAAGAACTTCAAAGTATTTGTTTTTTTTTTTAAACAAATGCTACTATTAGATCTACCAAGTGTATTAAAGACATTAATACACGGCAGAGTAGGGCCGGAAGGTGATAATCGGCCCTGAAATGAATAATGCCCTCGGGCTGAAGCCCTCGGGGCCATTATTCATTTTGCGGGCCGATTATCACCTTCCGGCCCTACTCTGCTGTGTATTAATCTCTTACTATTTATATATATAGTTTTTTAAAGTGACTGATTTTAAACGGGGAGTAGTTTACTTTTTTCATGATTAATATACAAGGACAGCAAAATGAATTATACAAATATATTTCTGGTATTAGTTTTAACATTTTGTGTGTTATGGATGTTCAGTTCATCCCTGTGTCTAGTGTTTGGATTATTTGTAAGTTTAAGTGTTGATATACATGCAATATGGAGAAATGTACTGGTCCTTTACTTCTGTAAGATGAGACGGAGATATCATCCGAAGAAAATAACTGATTCCAATATATTAAAAGGTAAACATTATTGTCTTTTTGACATGATATGAACGGTCAAAGCAGATTGGCAATGTTTTAATTATATTTATAAAAGCTACAGCTTGGAAATACGTGGTGTTGAAGTGAGTTTGTGTGTATACCCAAAATACTCAAAAATGTGATTATGAAATTAAATATATACAATATCATACACAGAATAACCATCTCTTCATGATCTTGAATTAATAGAATGTTTGTTTTTCGAAAGGCAATGTGATTACAAACAAAATATAATAGATATATAACAAAATCAGTTCCAATTTTCAGTGTAAAGTCAAAATAAAGATATATACCTCTAAACCGGAAGTTTTATTAAAATTGGTTTTGCATTGCATAAAATACTTATATCATAGATTTGCGCTCATCAGCATACAATACCATTATATAATTACTAGCTCTTGACGTTATTTTTCTACATTAGTTAGTCTATCCTTTATTGAGACTTACGCCCCCATGATTGTATTATGCACTTGGTTAAGTAGAACTCATTTTTGACTTTATGTAAATGAAGAAACTAATGAAATCAAAGGTACGACTTACTTGAATGATACTATTATCACTCATCTTTGTCGGTTGTGGATGTACTTATACCTTGTACCTATCAAGATACATGTAAATTGCATATTATACCACGTCTTTATACTATTAAAACTTATCACAAATAAATATACTTACATTTATATTTGTCAAGAATAACTTTCCTCTTGAATAACAGATATAAATATTGCGTTTTCTTTCAATACAGTAATATGTTTACCAACCGATGTAGACACCGACCTACAACTTACGAGTGGACGTCTTCTGAGAGAATGTGGATTTGGTCAAAGAGAATTCTGGGTAGAGAATTTCGTTGAAGATGCCGTGGAACGTTTAAATGGGAAGATGAAAGTTGAAGCATATCATCTGTCATATGATACTCCTATTGAAATGTTTGAAACATTCAAAATAATAGCTGTGGTATAAATGTTTATATCAACTCAAATATACTACTGGTAATATAGCACGTAATACATAGCATGCATTATCGTGTATCAAAGTTTCATTTAAGATATTTATATATCGCAAAAGCAGGTATCAAATGCTATGTGGCAGCCGTAAAATGTTACTCCGTACTTCACTTCAGTGTTGATAATTTTTCTGGTCCTTCGGGATCATTGACTCCACAAATCACTTTTTTTTCAGATATTAAAATTTGGAAATACTAGCTTCGTTACAGGTTTATCAATAAAACTTCAACTAGCTTATATTTGTACCAATTTACAAAGTTTCATGACCATTCTATTTGAAACTTGAATACTGTTTGTTTCCTTTGTATTTCATATTGTGCCGGTATTAAGCAGGTGATATGTTACAAGAAATTACATAATGCCAGTATATTATTTGATTGCAACGTCATTTTACACGAGACTTTTTTTTTAAAAATTATATTTCAGGTAATATACTGGGATGACGCAGCGTTCTATATGAAGCAGACGATAGTAAGAAACAGAGACAAGAAGCAATGTGCGACCATTTTATCCCGCCACAAACTCACAAACGTTACGACGAAACAAATTCTTAATTCATTAGATAAATGTGATATAGAAAGTAAACCGGTTCCACCAGACCTGTTACAGAAACTACACACGCTAAGTGGGAACTTTTCTAAGAAACAATAGCTTTTTACTACTTAGTATCTATACCTTTGTTAAGTATACTTTCTTACGTAATACTTAAATTGCACTAATGTATACATTCACAATAAAATAAATGTACTTATATAAGTGTTGAAGAACATTATTAGAGGCATTACTGAATGTTGTTATCTGATTACACTCCCGTGGTGTGCGCTTAGGGGCGCTTTAACATGAAGATGCGTCTACACTAAAAACAGTGTTTTGATATTTAATATACTGATAAAAAATAATAAAGATGTTGCGTCATATTTAAACGGCAAGTGTTTTTAAGAGACTAACTTTAGAGCGAGCTGGTGACCGAAAAAGATCTAATAAATGAAATAGATGAAAAGAAAATACTACTCTCAACTCAATTGGAACACTTTGACGATTACTCACGATCATCTCGGACTTAACACGAATTAAGAATAGTTTTACAAAGTGACAGATTTTAACAATTCTTTGTTTAAAATGAATGTCATAGAACGAAAAATATTCTTGATGTAATATTCTATTATCTGCACTTTAAATTTTGTCATAGCATATGTACTACGTTTATTTTTATATTTTGTAAATATTTGTTATAAATAAATATCTTAGATATTTACAGGTATTGCGTCCTCTGTCCTATATACATGAAAAACCATATACTGAGCTACGTCGACAAATATCAATATGACTTAGTATATAAACAATGAACAATGCACTGTTTAATGTCAGATCTATAAATTTACTTAATTCAACTATTAAACTCAGTCAACTACAACCAGTATTTACTTACTATTCGTTTATTTACATTATTAGTTTATTTAGCGCATGTTACACCGAAGTACAGCATCTGTGTTCAAAGTCCTTAACCGAGGCAGGAAAGTTGCTATTGCTCCTGCTCTGTGTTCCAATCGTAAAACATCATATCTAGGATAAGTAGCTATTGCAAGACATAATAGCCTGATGATTTGATACAACCGGAACACCTCGACGAAAATTCCTTATGAAAGGGAATAAAATTTGCGATTAGATTTGTTATGGTGAAACTTAAAGCAAAAACACGACAATTAAGTTTTCTACTGATATACAAACACCACCCTGTTTGTATAAAATCCTTTAGGAATTTAATGAATGCAAATCATTCACAAAATTATCCCTGTCAGAGCATGAGTAATGAGTGGTGGTGACCTGTACAGGATTCGTTATCCACCTCAGTCCTGTCTTTGCTGTATTGTTATTAGCTAAATGAATTCTTATAAGAATGGTCAAAACTTAAGGTCCGATGGTTTTGTCTTATATTCTTTAATTGTTATACATCTCTACTCAACCCAAATAATATGTATATCTGTATATAATGTATGTAACAATATATGAGTAGACTGTAAATAGGTGGAGCTTGCTTATAATAAATGTAATCACTACACACAATTAAGCACTAGAGGACCCTTCATTAAAAGTCCGAGCGATGCATGGTCTAGTAGTGATAATCAGGACTAAAATCCAGTAGTTGTGAGGTCGATATCCCCGTACTCCAACTAAATTTACTAACATTACTGAGGTTCTGTGTAATGATATTTTACAGCTTGTAAAAAAATAACTGTTTTCCTCGATTTGAAGTTACTCTATATAGGATGCACTATGCTCCCAATATACACACCGTATTACCGACACCAGTAATGACAGATTTCCTGGAATGAAAGCAGAAATCTAAAATTTACTACAGGTAAGTTATAAACATGGTTGGAATATTTATATTACGCAAAGAAGGTCAACTTCATTGCTATAGACTTATTGTCTAGGTTTTTTCCCCCAGGATTTTTGGGAACATGACCCATACCCATGAAATTGGGAATTTCAGCGGTGTTTTGTTAAAAATTGGGAAAAATGCATGACTAAAGTTTACAGTGATTAAATGGATGCAAAGAATTACTGTCTAGGATGGCATCATCAAACATTTAAGCACTATTACAACGAAAAAGCCCTTATTTTTAAAGATTTTAGAATTTTTATTCAACATTTTTATTTTGTAAATTTCAATTGGGAATTTTTTCTGTAGATTGGGAAAATAATATACTATTTTCAATTGGGACGGCAATAAAATACGCCAAAAAAACCCTGTTGTCCATTGACTTTAGATACTATACGGTAATTTTGGACTCCAATTCTTTGAGCGAGTTAAAATAACATGAAAATGTTACATACTCAAAATATGCATATTGGCAGATTGAAAACTGTAAAATAAAATTTATTTAAACTTTGAATAAGCTTAGATTATGGAAATAGATAAATAATGGGCGGAACTAAACACAATGGAATATGGAAAGGAGATCAGAGGTATATGAAACCTGCATATCACGGATATGACGTCAAGAAGGAAAATTTAAAAGAGCAGGCCACATATCCTAAAAGTGATTATTATACTATTACAGTATTGACCATGGGTAATGCATTACCTTCACTTTGAAGAGTATTCAAATAGGCTAGAATCACTTGCCAACTGCATTGAAATTGAGGGGCGTGGGTTCAAACCCAAGAAGTGGCAACTTTTTTTTCTTTTTCTTTTTTTTCTTTTTAACATTATTTATGTATCTCTCTGGTCCTTTATGGAAGAAAAAAGGGTTAGATTTAAATTATATAATTTTTGTAGGTATTTATTTGCTAAATAATGCCAAAATTTACAGCAAATATGATACCAGATATTTTCAAAGTTTAATAAAATAAAAACTACACTGTAAAGGTATTTTATATTTCGCATGATCAACCAATATACTGTTAAGAAAATTTAGGCAAACTTTGAAAACAGCCCCTCATTATGGTAAGTTTAAGGGATATTTTGAATAAGGCATTTAAGATGGGAAATGGTAAAATTAGTGTTTAAAGTGGGTGGGGTAGGGTAACATTTTTATACATATTAAGAACATTTTGTTCATAAACAAACATTTTGCTTGTGTTATTTGTTACCTGAATGTTATTATTTGTTTCTTAAAAATGAGCAATAGAAAAACATTTTTTATAATGATGATATTATGTACAGATTATTAAAAGTTTCATCTCATTTATGAAAATAAGCCCTTCAAATGGCAAAGTCTTGGTTCAGAAATATATCCATAACAGAAATATATCCATAACTCATAAACCACACGGTAAATTTTATTTCAATTTTGCATACATGTGACCTTGAAGACATATAACTGTCCTATGTTGTCAATTTTACAGTTCCTTATGGTGCCCATTACCCATGGTCTACCTTAAGGAGTACTGGAACCACCCAAGTAGAAAAATCCAAATATAAGAAAGAAAAAATACCATAAAGATGTACACACTACAATAATATCGTACTGAACGATCTTCAAAGATCGAAAGTACTTGTACAACGTACGGGGCGATTTTACGGCCTCTATATGACACAAATAACACTGTTAACGTTGTGACAATAAAATAGAGAAAAACAGAATTCCTAAAGAAAGCCCATCATGTCAAAATTGAAAATGTTGCAGGCTCGGTTTGATTGAGCCTGTTCATGGACTGTAGTGGTAATTGCAAGCTACCGTCCACGCCCCCTACCACCGGCTTAACCAGAATACAACATTTAAACACGAATATATATAGTGATTGATAGTTTGAATTTATAAAGATCTGCAGATGTGTTCATACGGCGGTTACCATAAACCGCAAGTGAGCACTAACTTACTCTCAAATAAAAGTTGCTAAATCCCGTGTACATGTCTTTAACCAAAATGGGACGAGGTTATCAATCAGGCAAGGGGGCAAGGCTCTTCTCCAACCTGTAGATTTCTGAGAGGGCTTCCGTCCTAGTTGTAAATTTCCTGGGAGGTCTTTTGTTCGCTTTGTTATGTTTAGATGGGCTGGGACGTCTTTCTTTCCATACTCCTCGCACTCTAGGTCAGGGTATCGTATTGTAACACGGCCAGTGATTGGCTGAAAAAAAGTGCAGGGAAAACCGTATGATTCAGTTTATACATGAGGCGATTGGATGAAAGTGGGGTGTTTTTAAGTATAAAAACTAATTTAAAAAGTAACACTACAATGTTTTCTGAAGAAAATGAAATATTTCATGAGTCTCTGTGATAATTTTGACTTGGATATTTGCATTTATAAAAAGTGTATGTCAGTCCTGTGATCAGCAGAAAATTTCAATGAAATGGGGGGTAATCCTCTTTGAAGTCAATTTGCAAAAAATTTGGTCGGCTACCCCTATATAACAGAAACATTTTTATGTGTCAGGCATTTCATTCTGCTAGAAAAAAATACCTCTTTAGCATGAAAACTGAATTTTAAGGTAGGATAAGGGACCATTTCTTATAATGTAAGTCTATGGAAATATCAATGTGAGTGTCTGACCTAAAGAGAAAGAAATTGGAACTGTCATAATTCACAGTAGAACTTTGTCTTCATTGATTACACCATGAAAAACTGATATTTTGGAAGAATGGATGTATACAGCCTGTCTAGGTATGATATTTCATTATTTCAGTGCAACTGTTGGTGTTTACAGCAGATAATGTGTCAAAGGGGTCAATCTACAAGCATTGTTTACATATGAACAAGAGTATTAGTGTTACATAAGAGTTAATAATGGTTTAATTTTTCTTTGAACAGTGAATTTGAGTGATAATCAATTGGTGATATGTTGATGATGAATAATGTAGACCTTGGTCATTAAAAATATTTTTCAGATTTCAAAGAAATGCTGTACATTGGCTATACACATGCCAGGTTTGAAGACTTCATGTATAACTTGACAGGACCTGATGTAAGCACATTGGCCACTTTTGATGGGTGTTGCAGGTATATCATTACAAATGCACATTGTCAGGTTCAAAACTGATATATAATAATTAAAAAGTTTAGGGTGCTGTTTCGATTAACTTTTCGACTTTATTTAGGGGCGGAAATTTCTTCGCTCGGCACTAATTTTTACCATTTTGCTCAAATATTTAAATAGAATGTCACAAATAAATTGCTTCTTTGTCTGTTTCCTATATAAGAATGTTTTGTGTTTCATTTCCAGGCATAGATAGCATTAAAGCTTCAAATAAATATCATTTTAAGGCTTCTGTCTTAAAATTTACTTGGTTTCAGGGCATGAATATTAACACATACTTAGAAATTCAAATCCATTGAAAAATGTAGCATAATTCAGTTAGGTTGCCTCTGAATAGCCTCTTATTATGTGGTTAAGATGCAAAATAGTGATAAGAATTCATTGTTTTCTATTTGGTAATACATATTTACACACTCGCAAATGTTATGTTTTGTGATTTAATAAATGCGTTTAAAGTGTTAAACATTGCGTTAAACATGGGAGCTACACTTTTATTTGTAATTTTCTGTGTAATTTTTGGTATATTTTGGAGTTTTGAATCACTAATATGTTCACTGATTGCACTTTTTATGTGCATACTTTATGATATGTATCATGTTGTTAAAACATTTATTTTCTCTTGTTTTTACAAAATAACAAGACGATTTAATTCAAGAAAGTTAATGGAAACGAACAGTTTTAAAGGTATTTAACCGTTATGGTACATTTTATAACTGGAGAAACTAAGTTTGTCATTAAAGAATTTATTTATTTTGTGCTTAAAATATAAACTATGTGTATCATTCATGAGTTATAATATATTCAAAGCAGTACCAGTCCAGCACAAGTATGTATGAATATTTAAAATATAGGTGAAACAACGTGGTAATTTGGTATCACCATTACCAATCGTCTCAGGATTGTAAGTCATTTTTTCATACTAAAATCCAAAATGGACTGATTCAAATCATAGCATTGTAATTGTTAAAGTTGGTTACCTTTTAAATGTCTTATAATTTTTATTGCAGTTTTGTGTCTACCTACAGACACAGACTTTAATTTGCTTCTGACAGAAAGATGTCTGCTGAGAGAATGCGACTTTGCTCTGCTCAAATTTTGGACAGAAAACTATGTGTACGATGCTTTAAGCTCACGACATGCAGAGCTCCTTCCATCAGGGCGGTATACATGCTTCAAATATCCCATCAGGGTGTTTGAAAGCTTTGATATTGTAACTAAAGTAAGTGTAATCACTACATGAATATAAGTTATAATATAAGAAGTGTAAGTTGACGAAGAATACGTGAATTTCAGAATTAATACAAAAAATATTGATAAGGTTATGTGTTATTATAATGTCACAAGCGATACTTTTATTGAAACCATTAAATGAACAATTTACTATAGCAAGTTGCCGTCAATCTCATTTATTTATTTAACACAATTATGTTAAAAAAGGGTTAATTTCAATTAGACACTAAAAGTATAAAAGTAATCCTTGTGTGATGTTCAATATTTCGGATACTTGATGGTCTTCTGGAGCAAAATTCGCATAAAGTAATCATTAATACTCGTATAGATCAAGACATTGTGGATTTATTCATTCATACCTGTGATGTATTATGTCATTTACTGTTTTCAAATATTATTTTCTGTATATTTCAGATATCATTCATTGATGAAAAAGCATTTTATGTAACACAATCTATTCTCAGGAACGCCGATAAATGTCTGTGTGCCACCGTGTTATCTGTTCATCAAATTGTCGGGACCAAGATGTCTACATTATTGGGGAGCAAAAGTACCACCTTGAATAAATCCAAGTTTGAAAATGTAGTTATAACGTTCCAAGAATTTCATTCGGATTATTTCAAACAAGTTAAAGATTCTTGGAAAGGTGTTTGATGGTAGAAAATAATATATGAAACAAGTAGTGTCGTCTAATAAATTAATATAAAAATAATTTGTGTTTGAGTTTACCTCTTTATAGCTTAATTGAGATTCAAATACTCATATATGATCGGGACACAAATACTTTTTGCCCAAATTGCAAAATCAATTGAAATAAATGTTTTTATGACAAGCTATGCATACAACATGTAATGTTTAAATGTTTCATTGTCAAAAGCGTCACTTACATTTTCATTGACACGGACTTGACATTATATTAATGATTATAATAATTATTAAATAATAATAATAATAATAATAATAATAATAATAAAAATAATGATAAAGACTTTATCGAAGTTGATGCTCATTTGCTGAAAGTGAGTACAATAATGCGACCATTGGTTTCGTTTCCTCACACATTGAAAAATTGTTCATTTTTTTATTCGTACTTAGTGACATTTATCAAGGCTAACTTGTTGATCCTGATCTTTATGTTTTTAAGCAAATAGAATTTAAAATTTCAGTTGTCGTTAATGAAAGGCTTTATAATTCTCTCTATGAATAATACATACAAGTACAGATTCCAGCCTATAACACTCGTAAGACAGGTTGGCAGTATCCAGAGATAGATAGACATGGTCAGTTAAATTTACAGAATTTGTAAGTTCCTAAACGGTGCGTTTTTAAAAGGTGTTTAAACATGTTATATAGTTATCAATGTAGGTCATTTATACTACAGTGTTTATGTAATCAGCCATAGCATTTAAAGTGACCGATTTTAAACGGGAATTTGTTTTCTTTTTCATGTTTATTATACAAGGACAGCAAAATGAATTATACAAATATGTTTCTGGTATTAGTTTTAACATTTTGTGTGTTATGGATGTTCAGTTCATCCCTGTGTCTAGTGTTTGGATTATTTGTAAGTTTAAGTGTTGATATACATGCAATATGGAGAAATGTATTGGTCCTTTATTTCTGTAAGATGAGACGGAGATATCATCCGAAGAAAATAACTGATCTCAATATATTCAAAGGTAAACATTATTGTCTTTTTGACATGATATGAACGGTCAAAGCAGATTGGCAATGTTTTAATTATATTTATAAAAGCTACAGCTTGGAAACACGTTTTGTTGTATACCTAAAATATTCAACAATGTGATTATGAAATTATATACAATATCATACACAGAATAACCGTCTCTTCATGATCTTGAATTAATAGAATGTTTTTTTTTCGAAAGGCAATTTGATTGCAGACAAAATATTATAGATATATAACAAAATCAGTTCCAATTTTCAGTGTAAAGTCAAAATAAAGATAATTATATACCTCTAAACTGGAAGTTTTATTAAAACTGGTTTTGCATTGCATAAAATACTTATATCATAGATTTACGCTCATCAGCTGTTAAGTTTAATATACAATACCATTCTATAATTTCTAGCTCTTGATGTTATTTTTCTACATTAGTTAGGCTATCCTTAATTGAGACTAGCGCCCCCATGATTGTATTATGCACAAACATAATGCACTTGGTTAAGTAGTACTTATTTTTGACTTTATGTAAATGAAGAAACTAATGAAATCAAAGGTACAACTTACTTGAATGATACTATTATCACTCATCTTTCTCGGTTATGGATGTACTTATACCTTGTACCTATCAAGATAAATTGCATATTATACCACCTCTTTATACTATTAGAAATTATCACAAATAATTATACATACACTGATATGTGTTAAGAAGAATTCCTCTTGAAGGACACGATATGATAATTGCACTTTCTTTCCATACAGTAATATGTTTACCAACCGATGTAGACACCGACCTACAACTTACGAGTGGACGTCTTCTCAGAGAATGTGGATTTGGTCAAAGAGAATTCTGGGTAGAGAATTTCGTTGAAGATGTCGTGGAACGTTTAAATGGGAAGATGAAAGTTGAAGCATATCATCTGTCATATGATACTCCTATTGAAATGTTTGAAACATTCAAAATAATAGCTGTGGTATAAATGTTTATATCAACTCAAATATACTACTGGTAATATAGCACGTAATTCATAGCATGCATTATCGTGTACTAAAGTTTCATTTAAGATATTTATATAATATCGCAAAAGCAGGTATCAAATGCTATGTGGCAGCCGTAAAATGTTACTCCGTACTTCACTTCAGTGAAGTGCATTATCGCACTTATCAAAACTTTCACACAATTAAAGACACACGTTATCTAAATTGATATACATGTATATACAATCAAGTATAATTAATATTTCAGATACCGTCCATTGTTTTGGGATAATATTATCAAGTAGAAATGAAATTACTCTTTATGATTTAAGTATATTTACCAGCATTATTATGTCTAAACCGCCCTATTGAAGAGTGTGTCTACCATGTATAGACCCATACTAGGAAGAAGAGAGGCAGAAGAAGACGACGAGTGAATTGGTGTTTGTACGTGACGAACATTATAGAACTAAACATTGAACATTGTAGAACTATGCATTGAACATTGTATAACTATGCATTGGACATTGTAAAAACAGTAAATTATGCATGTGTTGCTTGTTTGTTAATATTGAAAGATTTTATATAAAATATATAATAAAAGACATCATCGTTAAACTTTTGTTGTTGTTTTTTTTGTTAATTTTTATTTCATTTCTTGATAAGTGTTGACATTTTAAAGCAAATAAATAATAAAAAAAAAAGGGGCCGGGTTGACCAAAAATAACATTGGTTTGGGGCCGGGTTGACCAATTTGGGGCCGGGCTGACTTGAGGCCGGGTTGACTTGGGGCCGGGTTGACTTGTACCGCCTATGAAAGTTAAATGCAAAATGAACATGCTAATTAATACAAACTAAAATTAGTATTGTCACCTTACATAGGAGATAGATCTCTGTCCATTTAAATATCACCACTGCCATGACGTTATCCAACTAGGTAGCAATATGGCTGTGCAATATTCACCAAGGATACCAGTATCCAAATGCGACATGGTCGCACTTGATTAGTAAAATCATGAAGTTTAAACGGATTTTTTACTAGTTTTATTTTGATTAATGATACTCGTTTATTTTGTTCTTTTATTCTATCAATGCTGAATAAAAATCATTCTTTTAATCTAAAATCCTAATGCAATTATGCAACTTATTAACATAAATTTTGTATTAGGTGTAAATGTATATTTATAACATAGGGAAAAAACATTTTGTCAACTGTTGATGCATAAATTGTATTCCCCCAACATGTATAGTTGCAATATAGCTGACAATAGATGGAAACATCAGTGATGAAATTTTAAATCAGTGTTCCAACCAATAAAGAAGTGATTTTGAAACTGTCAGTTTGTTGATGAAATAAAAGTATATTTTTCATTGCATTGCACATATTTTGACATGAAATTCTTTACTTTTATAAATTTGATTTATGCTACGTCTTCTTGATACAATCAGTTTAGACATCGAAAAAAGCCTCAATAATTTCAAATGTAAAATGTCACAATGATAAATATAAAATGTTAAATAACTTTTTTCACGGCTAATTATTTGGACTAGTGTCACAGGGTGAGAAAAATGTGCAGCCTGACCGGGACTCGAACCCGTGACCCTCGGAATACCGTTCCGCGGCTCTACCGACTGAGCTATCCGGCCGCTTACACATCTTCTCCCCTAAATAGTGAAAAGGTCTGAACCGTGACATACTTCACCACAATATAATATTGAAGTTCGTCCTCGAATTTCACAAAGCTACAGAGCAATGCTAATTGAACTCTGAGCTACAGGCAGTCACAGGTCCCATGTTGGGCGCCAAATGTCACAGGGTGAGAAAAATGTGCAACCTGACCGGGACTCGAACCCGGGACCCTCGGAATACCATTCTGCGGCTCTACCGACTGAGCTATTCGGCCGCTTACACATCTTCTCCCCTAAATAGTGCAAAGTTCTGAACCGTGACACTAGTATTTCATAAGAGTAGATCTTCGTGTAAATTAATATAGATAGCACTTTATAGTTTTTAAATGAAGATGTCGTCTTGAAGAGATTTGTGATATTTTATCTTGTCATATATTGATTACTATAACACAACATTTTACATCACCACTCAGAGTAGAAGTCGTGGGACGAATTTAGTATAGTCATCTAACTAGCTTACAGTAGATCTAGTAAATAGTACCTAATATAAGTCATTCAAAAGTTGAATTTGTATCAGTATGTTGCGACGACAATTTGTTATTTTGTTAAATATTATTTAGTAATAGATTTACTGCTTATTATAGATTTTATGGCATGATTAATTTTTTTATATTTCAGGTAAAAAGTTTTAATCTGTTCAGACTATGAGTTTTTAATGTAAAGCATGAAATTGTGAAGTTTGGTGTCATTCATTGACCAACAACTGCTGAAATATGCATCGATGTACTGTTCAAGCTGGTGCAGAGGTGTCTGCTTGTAATAAAGAGTAGAATTTAAGAGAACTTAATGCAGGATGAGTAGAAAAATGTTGCCTGCAAATTGGATTTAGAAGCAACTTGTCCTGTAGGACGAGTGACTCTTAAAATATTTTTAGATTTCTGTGGTGTTTAGATCTATCATCATGAAGGAATTAACATACATGTAAACTTTTTTGGATGATCAAGTCGAAGATTTTTCTTCAAAAAGAGGGAGATATTAGAATGTGCAATAAACAAAGAAGAAAGTTCTGACATCAAAAAGAGGGAGATTTCTTTAATTTGTAAAAATGCACCTTATTTTAAGAAAAATCTTTGAAAATATGGCTGCAGAAAGTGGGAGTCTCCTGCTAAAAGTGGGAGTGTTCACATGTATGAATTAATAAATCAAATTACATCACAGCATGGATTTATTTGTTACGTGAAGTGTTCATTTTGACATGCACTGTTTGTACATATGTCAGTTGTTGTTTGTTTTCATGACATCTGTTATCCTCTGTACAAGCTGGCATTTAGATCTATCATCATGAAGGAATTAATGAAAGTGCTGATGGAAATAAGGAATAGTTGGTTTTTCAACAAAATGGCATTCTCAGATGATAAGCTGATAACATTTTTTCAATACAAATACTGGACAACTTGTCACTTATCAGTAAGTAACATGAACATGATTTAAATTGAATAATGTATATATGAAATATGGAAGTTAAGATATTTTATCGTAACAGGTACTTTTTGTATAAAAACAATTAATGAAATTGACTGAAAATCAACATATAAAACCACTCAAGGGTTATAATTTGGTTAAATAAGTGCTTTGAAAAGTGTTTAAGTCAGATACTATAATATCTGTGGAGGGTTTGTCTAGAAGTGATGAGTAGGATCTAAGTGACATAATTATGTGCATCCCAAAGCCACAGTCTAAATCTTTAAATGAAACACTAAAATTTGACTCAAATGTGTTGATAACAATACCTACTGATACAAACGTAGAAATTTGATATTGTTTATGAATGGGTTTTTGCTTTTGTGTTATCCATATTGTTGCCCAAAATATATCATATTAGCCAAATTATGTGTAAATATGATTAAAAAAAAACTGTTGTATGTGTTGTCATTTGTTTCAATCAGTAGTGTATTTGTATCACATACATATATTGATATTATTGTTTTTCAGTTATTTATCATCATGAAAGCTGTGGGACATGAGAAAAGATTAAATGTCATGGTCAAATTATAGATTGATGCTCTTGCTATTGAGCCACGTGGGAGGGTTGTATTCTGACTGAAATATGGTCCTATGTCAGCTTAGATAATTCCTGATTAAATTTTTGTGTGCAGCAGTAATCTTCAAAACAACAAGGTAATCACTTTACACTTTATACAAGTTGTTAGAGATCAATATCCAAGATTGATAACTCTGATATGGAATTTCACTAATTTATTGGGCTTTGTAAGGTTTCAAATTTATCGTTTAAATTTCAAGTGCAACATCAATCTATAAAATTGGTGATATTCATTTAATATTTGACATGTCATAGGAATTATCACTTTATCAGTGAAGGTAACTTTTAAAGAGCAGGAATTCAGGTTTGTAATGATGTAATTGGCCTTTGTGAACTTGCAATATTGTTAGATTACTATGCAAGACTTATAACTTTTTGACATTTTTTAGCTAACCTAAGCACAAAGTGCTCAGAGGTGAGTTTTTGTGATGGCAGTGTGTCCACTGTTTGTTGTTTGTCATTGTCTACAATTTCTTTAAAACCAGTTGATAGATTTTGGCCAAACTTTATAGGAATGATCCTTAGTGGTTCTCTGCAAAAGTTATATTAATGGTTCAAGTCTGGTGCATAAATAGGTCAAAGGAGTTAAAAATAGGCTTAAAAATAAGATTTTTAAAAATTTTCTTCTCAGTAACTGTTAACCCCTTTCTAACATGAATCTCAGGTGAGCGATCTAGGGTCATCATGGTCCTCTTGTTAAAATAAAATCTTCCTCCTTTTTTATTCCATCATTAATATTTACTTTTAAGCTTTTTAATGATATTTGACCATTACATAAGGACATGTTAATCACTCATTGCACAATTTTATATAAATGATCAGTGAAATATTCAGATAATGACTACATGTAGGATTATATATGTAATACATTTAGAAATATATTTTTTCTATAATTTGAAAAAAAAACCAAAGAACAAAAGAAGCTACAACCCTAAAGTTTTATAATTGTTCATAAATCCACTAATGATTTAAATACTTAACGGAAATGTAATGAGTGAAAAAAATTATGAATTTTGTATAAACAAAACATTTGTTTTGAATGTGCAACTTTGATAAGATCAGACTGCTGTATTAACCTCAAGGCCACTGTTAATCAGCCTCAGGTCAATATTGTAAAACAATTTATACATAATGTCATAGTGAAATATGTAACAGATGTCTATACTGACTCTGAATGAAACAATCATTTCCAATTGTTAACAGGTATTCTAAAGTTCTTTTATTTATATAAATAATTTTATATATGTACATACATGTGTTTCATAAGTTTAGTTAGATAACTGTACATAAGCTATAATTTTACCAAGAATACTTTTAAGATCAATACTATTACATGTTACAAAAGAGGCTGCCAGTAACCAAAGTCTTTATTTCCTCTCTAATAATTTCTCATTAAGATTATTGTACAGATAACACTAAGGGCAAGCTAGGTTGAACACTGAGTGCAAGCTAGGTAACACTGAGGGCAAGCTAGGTAACACTGAGGGCAAGCTAGGTAACACTGAGGGCAAGCTACATGTAGGTAACACTGAGGGCAAGCTAGGTAATACTGAGGGCAAGCTAGGTAACACTGAGGGCAAGCTAGGTAACACTGAGGGCAAGCTAGGTAACACTGAAGGAGTGTCAAAGGTCAACATTGTCAGATGGAGGCTATATTTTGTGTTCTGTCAATAATTTATTCACCCTTCAAGGGATTTTGTAATAACTTGGCACAAATTTTCAACATAATAAGATGATGTGTAATTTTCCAACACTTAGGTCCCTACATCCAAGGTCAAGGTCACATTTTTAATATGGTCTTATAATTATAGGACCTGTTTTGTGCCTGGTCCACAACTTTTTATTCATGAAATGATTCTGAAATGAGTTTGCACAAATATTCACCATAATAAGATAATTATCTCCCTTTATGTACTTTTTTTAGTAATGAAAAATGCTCAGATATATTTCTATTGATATATTCATTTTTGTAATGAATTTATTGTTGCATGTTTATCAAGCTTTTGCACTGAAAGTCCACATCCATACCTAAAACTTTTGAAATAATATTATTGTGTGCTTCATATAAAAAACTTCCTTTAGGCATGAATCATTTTTAACCTGGCCACTATAAATTCCTGTTTAACATTTGATCCATTGTAAAAACAGTAATTTACTATTGTTGGAACGACCCTCAAGCACAATATTGTCATTTTAAAGGTTGAGTGTATGTAGAGATGTATCCACCTTTCATAATGAACAACCTTGAATGGATATTATTTTATATAGTTAAACACTGGTTATAGGTAATTCTTTATGACATATTTTTATTGTAACTTGCTGTAATATGAAATAGAATAATCAGTAGTCAGGTAATGTAAGATCAGACAGTAATTGACAGCATAAATGAGGAATATACTTAATTATAGGATAACAATACAGTGTGAATTTAAGATTGTTTAACTATAACAAATGTAATCTTTGTTATATTGCATGTATATATGTAGGACATCTTTATTATGATAATCATGTCATCCATATGTTAGCATATAACATAACCTCATGTGAAGTTCATCTGTATATGTGTCGCGTACATTAAATTTGTGTTAGATTTATGATACTGGAAATTAAAGATTCATGAGTGCATGTTTATTAGGCTTCCTGTTCATAGATTTAGTCTGCTGTTATAGAAGTGAAAGTATATCTTACTTAATGTAATTGTGGAAGCATTCACTTTTTGAATATATTTTTATATATATGTGTGTTTATGACAGGTAATTGAAGGTTTTATTTCTTTTTAACAGTTCAGCTAAGTTTATTGAAGTTTTACAATACTTGTCTATATTGTATTTCTTCTAGTCTTTTACCTGGTAGTGTATATTTTCATATGAATCCAGGTCTTGTCAAGTACATGTATATAGATCTATATGAACATAAGGCTTGTTTAATTGTTGTAACAGTGTATGACTGACAGCTGGCATACTGTAATTTAATATTGCCTTATCAAAGGTTTAAAATACTGTCAATATTAACATGTTTGTCACCTGTAATATGATATCTCATCAAGTGTTGTTAACCTTACAGTGTACACATTGTACTCTCTTATAGTTATTTTATTACCTTTGATGTATAGTTTATGAGTTGCTTTAAGCACTGTCTTTACACACTTCATGTAATAATATATTTGTCTTGGTGTACAATATTGGCCTTGGTAAAACAATTGTGTTCACTGAAGCATTTCAACAATAACAACAACTTCGGAGGGTTGTTCAAAAAGTTTCAATTTGCAAAATGAGCTGAATTGCTTATCTTGCTACAGGTATGTCTATCTTGTCATGGAAATAAGTAAAGTCTGTGATGTGGGATAATGAAATACATGTTGTACCCGTTCAGCAAGAGTGGGTGTCTGTTGCCAAGTCGTTCAGGTCAGTGATTCAATGAATAACTTGCCCATAGCTGACTTGGGATCTCATTTTGACAGGGACATGTTAGGAGCAAGCTCGGTAGGTGATAACAAGTTGTTGTCTGAGATACTACATAAAGGTTTTCCTTCACCAGCAATTTCCTTCACCAGCAATTTCCTTCACCAGCAATTTCCTTCACCAGCAATTTCCTTCACCAGTTATTTCCTTCACCAGTTATTTCCTTTCACCAGTAAATTTCTTTATCAGTATTTTCCTTCATCCTTCATCAGTATTTTCCTTTATGTTTAAACATATTTTTTATTGCATTAAATACATGTTTACAAACATATTATACAAATAAAGAGTATATATCAAAATGCAAATGGGTCGGGCAACAAGTTCTTACAACATTAGATTAAGCCCTTCCCAGTATTTTCCTTCATCCTTCATCAGTATTTTCCTTCATCAGTATTTTCCTTCATCAGTAATTTCCCTTCACCAATAATTTTCTTCAACAAAATAATCATATAGGATTAAGGGTTAGAATTACTAAAGGGGTAAGCAGGAAAATTTCTGCACAGTTTAAAAGTTTAATGTCTTAACTACACGTGTTTCTTGAAATGATATAAGATGATGAAATTTAAAAAAACACAAAACAAAACTTCATTAACTGTTGATCCAGACATCATACTAGAACAGATATTAACTATCAAATTTTGTATTATAAAGATTGTTATTCCGGAATTATATACTTTTATGAAGACTGCTTGTTGAAACTAAATGATGTGTATTATTTTTGTCTGGTTTATGATGTTAGTCAGTTATGATGACATATAGAACTTTCATGGGGACTTATATACAGATGTGTTATGCTAGCATACAGGGATGGTACCCTCATGACATATATTAAAGTTTTACAGATTAAAGTTGTAGTTACAGAAATACTAAACAATTCATGACATTTTATAAAAATAATATAAGATGGCATGTCTGTGACCACCTTCCTCTACCCTTATGAACTCTGCACAAGTTTTAATATTCTGTTTTATGAAGCGTTCTCTAACTCATTCATGAGACTTCGGGCAATGAGATAATATTTGTGGTCAACTTAGCAAAAACAGAATGGCCTGTTATCTGTCAAGCTTTTTCCTGCAGTGTTTTTCATTATTTATAACTTCTTTAAAACAGAATCTCACAAACTACTCTGTAAACTTTGACATAACTTCACAGGAATGTTTAGGTACATGTAGTCTTTTGTAAAAGGTTTATAGATTGATTCTGTCCAATGCATTAGCATTAAGGTAGCCAATAGATAGAAAATGAAATCTTAAATTGCTGTGATATTACATGGTATAATATTGCCTTATAGTGTGGTATACATAGAAGTTATATGAATTATGCCTTTTGAGGGCAACAATACAGGAGTTGTGTGGGGGAGAGGGGGTCACCTTTGTCTTCTCAGATGTAGTAAGAAGCTTTAACTGTAACCACACCTGTTAACTAGTTGTAAGTAGAACAGCTGATTGTGAGTAGAAAATATGTCCGTTTCTTTTAACCCACATTTTGACGGGATTATTTTGTACTTGTATCGGGGTAAATTTTCTTTTTTATTGCTGATAACATAGAAAGTTATGTCTCGTTATGTCTCTAGAAGGTCACATCAATGAAATACATGTCTTGTAATAAGGGTTTGAAAATGAAATAAGTATTAAGTGTAAGTTGTTTAGAGTGATTTAAATGTGTACTGTTTGGGTACAAACATGAAAACATTTGATTTATATAATGCAATTTATGTAATGCATTAATTATTTTCAGTCTATGAAGGTTGCACAAAATATAACCCTTTGCTGAAGAATGACCTCATCTCCTTCAGTGTAGACCAAATTTATTTAAAGATAAGTTTCACACTATAGAGATAAAAATAATGTTATTTATGGTCACTGGACATACAAGCAATGATAAGAATATAAAAGACTAAACTTTAGCCTTATACAAGATACTGATCATACTCTTATACAATTTTATCTTCCCTTTGTGATTAAGCAAACTTAATGGACATTTTTGCTTTTAGAATGCTTGATATCACATTTCAAATGTGAACTTGTTATTTTTTCTTCCATTAATAATAATGCTATTACCCTTCGTTTTCTTTGTGAACTTTATATTAATGGTTGTATAAACAGTGTCACACTTTAATTCTTTATATAGACCATGTATGTTACCAATATTGTGTTTGTATTTTAGATTTGTTAGCATTGAAGGCGGATAGGCAAGGGGACTTCATTAAAAATTCAAATTCTAAATATATTGTAGTGATCATAATTTGAACATTTAAATGGCAACTGTGTATGGACTTAATATTTAAATTAAACTTCAATTATTGGGATAATTAATTTTATAGCTTCACACCTATTCTGAATTAGAAGTTTATATGATGCTATATTTGTATGTATTTACAATTATTCCATTTCTAAAATTTATAAATGAATGAAAGTAAATGTAGAATTGTGTATTTTCTGATGATGAGTTTTGATTTATATTTAGGAAATAGATATCAATTCTGAGTGCATTGTTGTAGAATAATGCACGGTTTGAGTTCAAATGCGTAGTAATATAATCACGAAGGCCGATAGGCCTGAGTGATTAATTACAAAGCATTTGAACGAAAAACGTGCATTATTATACAATAATGCACGAAGAATTTATATCTATTTCCATTCTAACACGTCAAGAAATAGTATAATTATTATTATAAAGTTGGACTTTATGTCTGGTGGTTAAATTTGTTTTCGCCTCCGAGTTTCCAATAGAAACGTTCTTTATAGGCTGTTCCAGTGGGTTGAAAAAAAACTGTCGTTAAATCTACTGTGTGTAGAAACATTTTGAGAATAACGAATTTTGAAAACGTTGATAAAACTTTGTTTGTTCATTTTATTTCACTCTATAATTTTTCAAGCGAAATACAAATTATTAAAAACGAAATAAATGTTAAACCTAATTCGTCTGCGATATTAAAATAACGTACTTGATTTGATTGTTTTGCACGTGCTGTTTGGCGCTACATTGTGACGTCACGTAAACAACACTTTAAACGCCTGTACAGCGTTAACGACTGAATTAAAGATATTGGTGTTCGGATTAATTTTCTTAGTTAGACCATTTTCTATCATTCTAGATAGTTTTTACAACAAAATTCGACAAAAAATTGTTTTTATTTATCAGATTTTTAAGCAAAATGGCGCCCTCAATGTGAAAATATACAGGGAGATAATAAGAGCGGCGAGTGCATTGTTGTAGAATAATGCACGCTTCGGGCCTTCTTTGTCTATATAGGAAAATTTCTGATAGTGTTAGAATGTTGTTTATATTTTATGTTAATATTGATGATCAAACGCAGTGTTACTGCTCTCTTTGTCATGTTATACAGTTTGATACAAGATAAAGATGGTAGTCAGTAGAAGATGTATCATGAACCAGTTGTGTTACCGTGTATCAAGAAGCAAGGTTCACATATTGTTATTACTTACATCTGCATGTCTTCTACTCCTGTATAAAAGGTATGTATACTTTTCATTAATGTTTACTATAATTATATACTTTAACAGTGCTGTCCCTTGTACAAGTACATGCCTTCAGATGAGCCTTCAAGAAAATCAACATTGAGAAAAATGTACCAAGGTTTTAAGAAAAGTAAAATATATTCACTATTCAAGAAATAATTAACATGCTTTATGTAATTAATGTATGATTTTGAAGTATTTATAATGATATTTCTACTGCCTGACTAATGCAGTTATGGATATTTCTGCATATTCTAACCTATTTTAGTTTAATTTCCATAGATTTAAATGCTGTGTGCAAAGTGTAAATTACTTCTTTGTTCACTTGGCAATATTTTACTTTTAGTACATTGTAAAAATGTTCGTAAAATTAAGCATGAATCTGCAGTGTAAGCTTTTCATTCAGTACATATTTTTTCTAAAAATGATGAATGGTTTTGTCCGGATTGAAAGATTGCCAAGTTAAGATGTTTATAATAAAACAGCATGGTAATTAAGTGTTTAGAAAAAGTGGAGCTATATTATTCTACATTATAGTTATATGATTTGCTGTTGCATAGCTTTTGGTTAAAGTTTTGCTGGTAATTTCATTTATTATAAAACTATTCAAGGTCATCACTTAAAACTTTGTCTTGACAATCATTAAGGTAGGTCACAGATTTAAAGACTCATAACTCAAGCATTAGTCTTTACAGAGTTATTTCTCTTTGTGAACCTAGAAATTATAATTTTTGACCAGTGGCTCTCAGTGTATACAAAAGTTTTCTGACGAAATCTGTAACATTGTCCAGGAATTCAGTGACAGTTATCAGAAGAACTCCTGACAAGTTATCATAAGAACTCCATCCTCCATGTAACAGTTCCTCCCCCATGTTGTCAAGTTGCTCATACATTATCCAGGGTCTTGTTTTACTATCAAGCACCAAGAATAGTTGAGCATGCTGTCCTACCAACAGCTCTTGTTTTCAATGTATATTATTCATCACTATTCAGCAGTTCCATCATTTGTATACTTAAGCTTATGTAGAGTTGTACATGTTAATTGTGCAATTATGCAGGTCAATTGTTAGGTTTTGAAATCAATCTTAGTACAGTAATGATATTTTTATCTCCATCAATGAATGTGTTAAAGTCTCTGAATGACAAAATAGATTCTGATACTGTTTCATATTTTATTGTATGTATTAAGTTGAAGTTGTAGTTGACTTTTGATAAAATTTTCTCCCTTGTAACTGCAATTGTTTTAGGAGGCTTACTGTGTTACTGATTTATATGTATAACTTTTTGTATGCTTTATCTTGTTTTCAGTTCATTTGATGCGACAAACACTGGTTCAAAATATATCTTTTCAATATTTAAAGGTAAGTGTCACTTATCTATACTTTTAATTTTTTGTTTGTTAGTTTGTTTCATTTTAAGCCTTTTCCCAACAGTATTTCAGTTATATAGGCAGGTAGTTTCCCAACCATCGTTCCTGGAGAGTTACACCAGTACTAGACTACCTTCCTCTGTGCTAAACTACCACAGCATCTCCCGGGGATCAAACCCACGCCAGAGAGGTAACTGGATTTGAAATCATCGACTCTGACCCATCTAAATGTATTTTTAAGATATGAGTACAAAAATATTGCCGCTTCATATCGCACAAGTCTGTTTACTTTTTAGTAAGTTACAATGACACTTTAAAGGTCATATATATTAAAGTTTCAGCTTTTTTTGTAGATGTCATATATTTTACTTCAATTCTTAAAATTTATTTGAACCACTTATTTAAATACTGATGATATAGGAAGAAACATGGTTGTGAACCCCCTATAGGGCTCAACTACAGATATATATATATATATACAATATATATTTAGCTCCATGGCTCAACCAACTATCCTTGAGTTTAAAGGCATACAGCTTAACCACTACAGCCCATCTCCCCTATTCAGAGGCCTACATGTGGCCAAAATAATACAACTGAGGTCTTGTTTAGTAAAACTGGCACGTCTTTATACCAAACAAACTTTCTACTAGCTAGGTTGATTGCTGCCTCACATAAAAGAATTTAATATCCTAGGTGGGATTTGAACCTACAGAATTGAAGGTCAGGTGATTTGAAATGAGCCACTTTCATTACTTAGCAAGAAAGACCCATATTTGATTGTGGGAACTTGCTATGCTGTAAAGAAAATGACTGATTTCTCACAGTCAGCTGCTGATTATTCGTACAGTTTCAAAAATATTTTTTTATAGCAAACATAAAAACCAGAACAAAAATTAACAAACAAAATATTGATCAGATTTATTTTTTGTTTTCTTTCAGAGGAACAACTTCCAGAACCAACACAAGAAGATATAGACTATTTTTCAAGATTTGTTAATGTTAGTTTTGCCGTGGAGGATAATTTCATCAGTGGGGAGTTAATGGGTGGAAGGGGATATTTCCTATGTAGCGTAACATTGACTAACACAGGTGTACAAACTGTAAAGGCAAAACGCTGGCATCTTTACGGTTATTTCATGAGACTTATGGAGATAGATAACTATCCTTATCAATTAGGATATCATATTAAGTCATGTGGTTTGAAATTATTTCATGTTGGTGGCAGCTTGTACAGATTTGAACCTGACGGGAACGTTTTCGTTGATCTCAAACCGTCCGAAATGGTAACATGTAGATTTAAGGGGCAAGCATTCCAGATAACTCGTTCTGATTCTATGCCAAGATGGTACGTCACCAGCAGTTTGTCTATGCCAAAAATCATCGCTAACACAGATGATGAATCTCTGAATTATGTAAAAGATTTTACAGACAAAAAACAATACCAGCGTAGAATTGATGATAAGTCACATCCATTAACTCCACAACAAAGATACCAGATGTTTAAAATGGACAAAAAAGAATCAGATACAAGATTTAAAATCATTCCAACACCATTATTTGTTCAAGTGAAAGAGAAAGTAGAAATGGAATTTAATACAAAGCAATGGGTTATTATTAAGTCTGATCCATTTTTACAGGAGATTAAACATTTTTCAGGTAGGCATGTCTGATTCTAAGTAAGGAACATAATTATTAGTTTATAAAGAAAACTTGAAAATTTTAAAATTAATTTTAAGGTAGACCATGGGTAATGGGCACTTTAAGGAACTGTAAAATTGACAACATATGACAGTTATATACCTTAAATGTCACCTGTATGCAAAATTTGAATGAAATTTACCGTGTGGTTTATGAGTTATGGATATATTTCTGAACTAAAACTTTGCTATTAGAAGGGCTTTTTTCAGAAATGAGGAAACTTTAAATAATCTACAATATCATCATTATGAAAAATGTTTTCCTGTTGCTCTTTGTAAAGAAACAAATAATGACATTCAGGTAACAAATTACACAAGCAAAATGATTGTTTCTAAACAAAATGTTTTTCATATGTATAAAAATGTTGCCCTACCCCATCCACTTTAAACACTTATTTGACCATTTCCCTTTATAAAAGCCTTATTCAAAATATCCCTAAAATTTACCAAAATGAGGGACTGTTTTCAAAGTTTGCCTAAATTTTCTTAAATGTATATTGGTTGATCATGCGAAATATAAAATACTTTTACCGTGTAGTTTTTATTTTATTAAACTTTGAAAATATCTGGTATCATATTTGCTATAAAATTTGGCATTATTCAGCAAATAAATACCTACAATAATTATATAATTCAAATGAAACACTTTTTTCTTCCATAAGGGATCTGAGAGATACATAAAAAATGTGAAAAAGAAAAAAAAGAAAGAAAAAAAAAGTTGCCCCTTCTGGGGTTTGAACCCACGCCCCTCAATTTCATTGTAGTTGACAAGTGATTTTAGTCTTTTTGAATACTCTTCAAAGTGGAGGTAATGCATTACCCATGGTCTACCTTAAACATTTCATTGACATAATATTTTTATCAAACACAAGATGGATTATTATATGTTAAACTGGACAAATGAGGCCCATCATTAATTCTAGATATGGTAATGCGTCAGTAAAGGTATTATAACTGTTACTCAAGGGAGACATGGTAATGTTTAAATTAAGATATGGTAGTGCTTTAGTAAAAATACCAGTATGCTTCAATTAAGACACAATATTGCTTCATTGAATATAATGGTAGCTCTAAAATCAATTGAGATAGTGCAGTACAAATTGCACTTCAAGGATGGTATAGTTATGCTTCAATTAAGATATGATAATGTTTCAGTTTAAATATGAAATGCTTCAGTTAAGATATGATAATGCTTCAGTTAAGATGTGATTATGCTTCAATTAAGATATGGTGATGCTTCAGTTAAAATATTGTAATTGTTCATTTAAGATATAGTAATGTTTCAATTAAAGATATAGTAATGCTTCAATTACAATACATGTATTGTCATGGTTCAAATAAGATATGATAATGTTTCAGTCAAGATATGGTAAAGGTTCAATAAAGATATCATTATGGTTCAATAATGCTTTAATTAAGATATTGTAATGCATCAATTAAGATATGGTAATACTTCAGTTGAGAAAAGTAATTCTAAAGTCAATTATGGTGTGATAATGCTTGACTGAAGATTGGGATTATTTTTATATTTATAAATTTACCATCAATCTTGTTCTTTATTTCAGATGAGCTGTCAATGAAAATTGTAAAGTCTAAACCAATGAGGAAGTATATAGAGATAAGGGAAGGTCCTGTTATAGTGGACATGGATGGAGTATCTAAAGAACACAAGGATGGTTACATGATTGAAGCTTTTTCATCTAGAGAATGTATTATTGTTACCGTAGCAACAAATGAAGCTTTGTTTTATGCATTTCAAACTTTGAGTAGTATTTTCTTTACACCGGAAGCTCGTACAAGTGTTGGTATTCCTATAATGTTACCAGAGTTTACTATCAAAGATGCACCAAGATTCTCTTATAGAGGTCTGCATATAGGTAGGTTAGATATATAAATATCTGTATAGACAAGAGAATTATTCAAACGATATTAGATAGACTATGTACACCACTGCTGGCAATTTATGAAGTAATAAATAAAGGAAGTTAAATTTTCTGTATTATAAGTTTGTTATAAAGGTTTAGGTAAGGTTATATAACCATGACTGTATTGTTGTTTTCAATATAACCATTGTCTAGCAGCTCTGGATATATATGTAAACAACCATTTTCATTAGCCTGTAAAATATCTTCATAACTAATGAAATATGCATGATTTGGCCTATACAATAACATGTGATATGGTGCCTTAAGAAAATATTCAAATGAAAAATAAATTGTGTGACATTTAAAGCTACATACCTCTAAACAAAGAAAAAGGCTTTTAAAAATACTTCAGAAAAATGTACTTTAAAAGAATAAGAAATATAGAAATATTTACAATACAACATGTTTCATGCATGATTACGTTAGTCTGAGTATTTTGTCATATTTCTAGCAAGAGCCTTGTTACTTAAAGAGTAATAGCTATTTTTGAAAATTTTAACTCATTTTATGTTATTCATATGAATAACTTGTATGCAAAAAAATTGCTTTTCATGGATTTTTTTTGACATTATTTTCAGATGTATCTCGTAACTTTATAAAAGTTGAAGAAATTTTAAAGATCATTAATATAATGTCAATGTACAAGATGAATAAACTACATCTACATTTGTCAGATGATGAAGGCTGGAGACTTGAAATACCTGGAATACCAGAATTAACACAGGTAATCTTATAATAAATGTCTAGTTATAAGATGACATGTCTTCTTAACCAATTAGTTTTGGTCCATCATCATTACATGACAATCTTTCACTATTGATCAAACTTTTACTTTAGGTTTTGATTTTTATTAACATCAAAAAAGAATGAAAAGTAACGTTACAGAAGAATCTGTTTATGTCAAAGTTCCATATGGTTAGCATGATGTCAGACTTCATAGTTATTTCCCAGACATCGGTCTACTAATATCCATTGTATATCTCTCCCTGTGTAGTCATTCATTCTATTTCTAATGCAACTGGCTTTCAGTGGCAGAATTTCATCTCTCAATCATACAAACTTGTTAACAACTGTGTGGTGTGAATCAATTAAGGGAGATGTTTGATTCGAGGAAATAGACAATGTTATTGATGTGACTTACACTCTTTATCTCTTGATCATCCACAAGTACAATTGGACCACTGCTCCTAAAAAAACTTCTCTTGGCTTATTCATGGGAATGGAGTGTCCTCCATTTACAGCCATATACTTTCACAAAAATATAAACTCACCATATTTTGCATATAATTGACCTTGGTCATAATGATAAACCTGTAATAGTTACATCTTTTTAAGGGCATGTGTGACCAGGTGAACAAATAAATAATATATGTTTGGTATGCTAAGCCTTTGTGCGTATTTATTACAAAATTATATTACTGATACAATGTATATCAAGATAACTGCTTGATAACTTTTACAATTTTTTACATAATATAGTTAAATAATATATATTGTAAAAATTTGTGCATAAATTGTATCCTTTATTGTATGAATGATGTATTGAATATAATATACATATAACTAAACTTTTGGTTTGTTTACATATTTTTAAAGGTAGGATCTTCACGTTGTCATGATCTCAAAGAAGAGCAGTGTATTTTACCTATGCTTGGATCAGGGCCATACTCGAATACATCGGGATCTGGATATTTTAGTGTCGGGGACTACAGAGAAATTCTTCTTAATGCAAAAGAACGTCATATAGAAGTTATACCCGAATTTGATATGCCTGGACACAGTAGGGCAGCTATAAAGTCTATACATTCCAAATCACAACGATTGATACGTAAAGATATGAAAGCAAACCTGTATACCATTATAGACAGTGAAGATGTATCTTACTTTAAATCAGGTCAACATTTCACTGATGATGTCATGAACCCGTGCATGGATTCCACGTATGATTTTGTCAAGAAGATCATTATGGAAGTAAAGAAGATGCATCAAGATATACAGCCTCTAAAGTTTTACCACTTCGGGGGTGATGAGGTCGCTCAGGGAGCATGGGATGGTTCTCCTGAATGCAGGAAACTCAAAAAGCCAACAGGAGGTCAGATATTGATCATATTTATACATGTATATAAATAACAAAGTATCTTTGCAGATGAAAATTCTCAACAGGTAGTTTACTAAATTAGTCCATGAGTATTGATTTAAATTGTTTTCATGTTATGCTATCCCTAGATACTGTGTTACTAGAGCAAGGAAATAATGTTGATAAAATTATATGCTAAGACCCCTAGGTTGTATTTTGTTTGTATCATGTATCATGTAAATACAATTTGAAATATAACAGAGATCTATGTCTCTGAATATAAAAATAACTCCTTATTTTGATAAAGGGAGACAACTATAAGCTTTATAAGGCAAACAATTTTTCTCAGTAATTGCCCTTAGATTATCGAGAACAGTTAAAAATATATACAAAATTATAAGTGTTTTACAACTCCTCACTTTAATTTAGGTAGATTATATAATTTCATATCATTATGGAAATGTCTTTTATAACTTATTGTCGAATATTTACCATACAATTTGTAAATATTGTTGTCTATAATGTCTTGCATATTCCACACTTTAGTAACAGAGTTTTAGTAACCATATGAATATAATTATTGATGTATATTTAACCTTAAAACCCTACCTCTATATAGAATCTTTTCATTTTCAGAAAACATGGGTCAGTATGATTTAATGAAATATTTCATCAACAATCTGACACGTATTGCCTCGGAAGAATCTATGTCTGTTGGGGCTTGGGAAGATGGCATGATATCACATGACATTGAAAACGTAGGATTACCTTTCCCACGTGATGCATTTAAAAACAAGTAAGTTTTGATTATGTTGCTTAGTTTTTGAAAATAACAATATTGTGTATACTGGAAAGTATTTGTTTTGATTGAGTTTTACACCGCCACAGTGTAGGTCGTATGGCGATGTTTCAAGCTTTACTGGTGGAGGAAGACCCCAGGTGCCCTTCCATGCATTAATTCAGGTATGAACGGGCACTTGAGTAGAACCGCTGATGTTCCGTAAGCTAGCTAGATAGCTTCCTCACATGAAAGAATCAAAGTCTATATGTGGATTCGAACCCACAGTTAAGCTCAGTTGATAAAAAGAGTGGGACAGTCTTATATTTATGGCAGTTTTTATATTTCATCCTTAACATTTCTAATGGTCACATATTAGTCAATCACTATTTAAATTGTCCACCTTTTGAATATATTTCAAATTGAACACAAACAGTAAAAATGAGCTAACGTCACTTTAAAGAGAATCATGATAGAAACAAATTGAAGAAAACATCTTGAGTTATCTGCCTCTTATATATTTATGAGAACAAGGTGAGTCTTCAATGCAATCATAATCCACAAGTGTGTTGTTAGGACCCTTTGTTATCTTAGGACAAGCAATTTGTAAAGTAAAATATCTGTGTACAGAATTACCTCCCTTTTATATCTTAAAGATCCACCATTTTACTACATTTTGAATTAAAAAGATCTCTTTCAAAATGTATGTACATGTTTAAAATAGTATAGTTGAACTGTAATGTTTCAGGATCTTTATAAAGTAATTTGATAAATAGACCTTTAAATTTATAATAATAAATCATGGGTATCACCATTTCATTTATTCTTTGTCTAATTGGATTCATTAATTTTGATTATTTAAATTTGAACATAAATTTCCATATTTCATTTTACATGAATCATTAAAATGATTAATTGAATGTTATATTAACTTACTTTAAAGAAATAACTAAATGACATTACATAATGTCATAATAATAGTTTAATATCATTATATTTGGTCATCAGTTTTGGATGTCCTTTACTATAAAGGCTATTTTGTTTAACATTGCTCAGTTAATTTACTTGCTATATTTGAGCCGCGTCACGACAAAACCAACATAGTGCGTTTGCGACCAGCATGGATCCAGACCAGCCTGCGCATCCGCACAGTCTGATCAGGATCCATGCTGCTCGCTTACCAACTCTTTTACAAGTAGAGAAACTGATAGCGAACAGCATGGATCCTGATCAGACTGCGCGGATGCGCAGGCTGGTCTGGATTCATGCTGGTCGCAGACCCACTATGTTGGTTTTGTTGTGATGCGGCTCATTTCATGTTTGTTTCACGGGTATTACCAGTGAAACCAATATATAATTATACTCTACTTTCAGAGATATATATGTGTATGTATGGAAGAGACCTTCAGAGTCACGAACCCCACACAGAGCTAAACTGTTTGCAAATAAAGGCTATAAGGTATTAAAATAAGATTAATCTCCTTCAGTATTATGTATATTATTAGAATATTTCACCAAAGATTACAGAAAGTCTGATACATATTTAATGATATATAATTGATATGTATGAACCTCATTTACCTTTTTATCAATTAACTCTACTTAAATCTTACACCACAGTGATTGTTTGCAAACAGAAACATGCAATTTAGTAGAACTAATTGCTACAACATTTTACAAGTATTGTCACTATAGTTGATTAGATCAAAGCACTTGTCCCTCATTGCCATAGGTAAAAGTCATGTTAGGTATTTTAAATTATTACATATGTCTGAATGTATAGATGTCATCTGAAACTCGGCAAATGATGCTTTTCCCATCTTATCTCGGGCGCAAACAAACTTTTTACTGTTGTTGCTTCACAATGCACTACCATTCACAATACATTTAGTAAGTCATTAGTCTTATTATTGATATATTTATCAAGTTGTACATGTAATTTAATAATTTTTTGTACCCTGGGGTTAGATAGGAGTAACCAACATTTGCTGAGTTCATGAGTATCTATAGTTAGCAAGCTTACAAAAGCTATAGAAGCTAGATAATTACCATATGATCTTACGGTTTTCATTATTTACAGATTGGCGATCAATTTCATTGGTTGAAATGCGGTCACAGTCGGTTGTATTTTCATTTTGTGAATAAAAATAACACCCTTAGCCAAATTGGTTGTTTTCATTGGCACATCTGCTGCCTCAGATAAAATGAAAACCCTGGATCTTACTCAGTGTTGATATCACTTAATACCCAGCTGTATCATAAAAAATTCTTGTTACTTCCAGGTTATATTAGCGTATGGTACATATCTGTATTTTGATCACCCATATGAGCCCGACCCAGAGGAGAGAGGGTTGTACTGGGCAACTAGGAAAATCTCTACAAGAGATGCCTGGGGATTTACACCATCTATTATGTTTAACGATAACCATTTGGAGTGTCCCGAACAAATTACAAACAAAAAAGAATGCTATGAACTCATTAAACCAGAAAACGTCATGGGTATGTTATTTCTGTGTTTATTTGCTTTAAGTTTAAGTTTATGACTAATGGAATTAACTTTGAAGTACATGTGTTTTTTTCCAAAGCTATACCATGCTAAATTGTTTTGCTAAGACAGATACTAGCGGTCCTAATATTAGAAATATGCAGTTGTCTGTGGAACTGCAGCTTTGATTGAATTGAAATTGTTTAACTTTTAAGTTCAGAATGCTATCTGATTGTAATATTTTGTGTTACCCAAACACCTTTGATACTCTGCTTTATTTTATTGAAATACAAATAACAAGTGTACCATACTATTGCTATTACAGGAATACAAGCAGAGTTGTGGACAGAAACTGTCCGAACTGATGAACAAGCTGAATTTATGCTGTTTCCGAGACTTCTGTCAGTAGCAGAGAGGGGTTGGCATAAGTCATCATTTGAAGATTTGAAGGGAAATGCAGCAGAAAAAATGAAAGCAAAGGAATGGCAAGCATTCTCAGAATGTATTGGTTATCATGAGTTACCTAGACTTGATAGAAAGGATGTTAGATATAGAGTTCCTCCCCCTGGTGCCATGTAAGTACATTTCCTGTAAGATAAAGTTTTCAAGGACTTTATAGTTATAAGTCCCCCTACTTTAGGTTTGCCCTCAATCAGTCTGTCCATCTATCTTTCTGTCTGGGCATCCATCTATCTGTAAGTCAGTCTGCACTAACTAAAATAAAATGGGGACCATTTAACTGGAAAAAGAACAAGAGAACAATGGAATTCATTTCATAACAATAGAATTAGGAGTCAGTAGCCTTCTATTAAACAAAAGAAATCAACAAAAGAAATGGCCCCTTATTTCATTTATATTGCAGGTCTGTCCCTCTGTCCATACAAACCTGATCCAGTGAAAACTCTAAAAGTAACCAAAACATTTTTATGAAGCTTAAAATATGAATAAATGGCAGTATGAAAATTAAGCATGTTTTTTATACCCCCCCCAAAAAAAAACAACAACAAAGTAAGCTGTATGGGGGTACATTCTGTCCTTAATGTTTGACTGTCTGTTTGTGCTTCTTTTAAACTGCTTAAAAGTTTTAATGAAACTTGACGGGTGTAATTATCATAATTTATACGTGTGCATACATTGACCAGTAAATGACCTTGACCAAGATTGTTTAAATTTTGTCAAATCAAACTTGACCTTGACCTTTAGTTGACCTTCACCTCTATTGTAAAATCATTAATTTATTTCTTAAATCAACTTTTCTCTTAATTTATGGACAGATTTGGTTGGTCAAACAAAAACTCACCATACAATTGTCAGTGTGTCAAATTTGCTAAAATTGCTATAATTGTGTATTTATAGACTGATTTAAACACAACATCAAGGTCATGTTTCATGTTTTGTTAAAGGTCAAGAAGTACACATTGGAAGGGGATTTAGCTGTCCTTCAGGCTGCCTTGTTAAACTTCAAATATGAATACATGGCATACACCATTTTTTGTCTTCCTATGTTGAAAAATCTGATTGTTATGACAACAAAAACACTTCAGATAATGCAAAAAAAACACATTATATTTGGACCCATTTAGAACTTAAAACATATTGTTTAATGAAACTTGAAACATGAATGTATAAAAAAATCATACTTTGGAGAACAAGTTAAATCTGTGGACACCTTAGGTTTGCCTTCTGTCTGTTCACCTGTCCACATGTACTGGAGCCTGTGATAACATTAAAAGTACTGAAAACATTTTCAAAAACTTAATATATGGATGGATGACAGTATGTAGATTATGCACACTATTTTATCTTCTGATGCAAATAGACTTAAGATATTGCAAAAATACCATAACCACATATTTTATTTTAAATGGTAATCTTTCAATACTGTGATTACATTAAGTGTATCAGATACTTGAAGTAAGGTTAGATAGCAATATGGAGATGCTGTTTATATTGTCATTGTAGTCCATGTGTCTAAACGTATGCCAATTGCTTGGCAGTCCCTCTGTCTGTTTATTCTTAAAATCTGTATCCAATCACTATTAAAGTATATGTACTTGAATCTTAGTTTTAAATACTGTAGAGCAAAGTTGAAACATTAGTTATCCTCAGGAAATTTGATCTCTTGGTAATCTGTTGTATAAACATAATTTCCTTTTTGAGACACGCTGATATACACATTAAACATAAAATACAGATAAAATTCTATAAAATTTGATGTGGAAATAAATACCTTTTAGTCTGACAGGAATTAATGGAAAACCAAGACAAATGTGAATAATGCCTGAAGTCTTCTAACTTTGATGTTACATTACAAAAAATATAACATTGTCTAGTTTGATATGACATAAGATAGAGATAGAGCTTATGTACTGTAATCTGTACTATGGAGAATGTATAATCCATTTCTTGGATTATAAAATGATTTTTGTTTTTCATTTGTGTTTGCTTATATAAAATAATAAAAAAAATATATAAAAAATGGCAAAAATAAAAAAAAGACTGAATCACACTTAGAGAGTTAAAGGTGTCCTTCACTTTATTCAGAATTTGGTTGTTCACTGCTTAGCACATGAGTGGGGAGCGGCGTTGTTCGTGGCCGAGTTGTTAAAGTCATTGACTTTAAACCACTTGCTTTGGATTCTTTCATGTGAGGAAGCTATCCAGCTAGCTTACAGAACGTCGGTGGTTCTACAGTGCCTGTTCGTGCCTGAAATAATTCCCCGAAGGGCACCTGAGGTATTCCTCCACCAGTAAAGCTGGAACGTCGCCATATGACCTGTACTGTTGCCATATGACCTGTGACATAAAACACAATTAAACATAAACATAAAACAAGAGTGGGATGGGGAATGGGGTGAAGGTAGGGAACATTTGATTTGTAATCCCAACCTTTTGGAATTCCTTCAGACTGTCTTTTGTTGTGTAATTTTTATAAGCACCTGTTATTTGATTGATAATTTTCCTGATTCTTTTCTAGTTCCAGTTGCCATTACAACATTGTTTACTCTTACCTAATATCACTAAGAAAATTAGTCTCAGAAAGGGAGGGATGGCCTTATGGTTTAGTGTTTGCCTGTCAACCCTACGAGCTAATCCGGCAGTACTGATTAATTTAAGGAAGTAGACTAGATAGTGATTGAAATAATTTGCATTATTACTTTATTATAAGGTATAAAGAATTACAAGAATAAAAATTGTTACCAATAAATTTGACACAGTTATAATTTTTAGCTTATACAAAATGCAGTCACTTTAGTATTTAAATTTTTCAATTTCAGTGTAATATCTGGAAAAGCTAGTTTTAATACAGAGTTCCCTGGTTTAGATGTGGAATATTTCTCAACGGATACTAATACCTGGAAACTTGTATCACATGGAATGCTGGTTGAATATCCAATTAGACTTAGAACAAGGTTTGTTATATACAGTGCAATATTTTTTTTATCATTATCCAGGTAACATTAGTCATGATAGAATTAGTCATTTTAATGTCTTGATAGTGCTAAACACTGTATTCTAACACACTTCATATTATTCCCCTATAAAACAGATAGGATTGTCGAATGCAGTATAAAAACACTGCATATTCACCACTTAAAAAAGAATGCATACACATCATATGACATCAGATATGATGTCAATAAAAAAACTAAATGACTTCACAGAATTTGGTTTCACATATTATAACCTATTCCCTTTTAATAAGCTTGTTAGAATTGAAACTGATATATAAAATTTGTGGGTTGTAGTATGATTATGCATTGTTATCGGTCAAATGCTTTGAAATCATCAGCCTTCTTGATTATATATTCCTGCACATTATGATTATTTTACATTCTAATATGCATCAAACTATTCCCCTATCAAAAAGATAGGGCACTTAACTACATTATAACATGATATATGCACAGCATAAAAAGGAATATTATATTAATATATGATGTCAGATATGACGTCAATAAACCAAATGACATCAGTAAGATGACTTTTAGTTCAGTGCAGTTCAACAAACTTTTACCAATTCTCTTTTTTATTAGCACGTTAGAATGAAAATTAATATTAATTTTTCTTGCATTACAGTATAATTATTCATGGTTTATCTTTAAAATGCTTTTGAATTACTCACAGAGGCTTTTGTGATTATGTTTAGGAATACGTGTTTGAACTTGAATTTCTACAACAATGCATTAAAATTGATATATATTTTCTAAATAACAAGCTCAAAATTGATATCTATTATAAATCACTATTTATAATCAGGCTGAATAAAATTGAGTATATTTGAGATAAAAAAGCTGCATCTCATGTTGCTTAAAGGTTAGTGTTTGAAATTATTTTTAGTCCAATAAGATTGCAGTGTTTCAAATGAATAACACATTTACTTTGGTACTGAATAAAATATATTCCCTTTTTTAGCTCGACTATTCGATAAGAATAAGTAGAGCTATTGCAGTCACCCGAGCGTCGGCGTCGGCGTAACCACTTATGTTAAAGTTTTTGTAATAGTTCAAATATTTTCAAAGTCCATAGACATATGGCTTTGAAACTTTGCACACTTGTTCACCATCATGACCCCAACCTGTAGACAGGAGGAGGTAACTCTTTCAAGCATTTTGACAGAATTATGTCCCTTTTTCAACTTAGAATTTACGTTAAAGTTTTTGTAATAGTTCAAATATTTTCAAAGTCCATTGACATATGGCTTTGAAACTTTGCACACTTGTTCACTATCATGACCCCAACCTGTAAACAGGAGGAGGTAACTCTATCAAGCATTTTGACAGAATTATGCCCCTTTTTCGACTTAGAATTTACGTTAAAGTTTTTGTAATAGTTCAAATATTTTCAAAGTCCATTGACATATGGCTTTGAAACTTTGCACACTTGTTCACCATCATGACCCCAACCTGTAAACAGGAGGAGGTAACTCTATCAAGCATTTTTTTTACTATCAAGCACTAAGAATAGTCGAGCGTTGCTGTCCTACCGACAGCTCTTGTTTTAAGCATGTCAGAATGAAAATTAATAAAAAAAATATTGCATTGAACTATTATAATGCATGGCTTAAATTTTAAATAATAATCATTCAAATGCTATGTCATTACTCCCACAGGCCTATTGGCTTTTGTGATTATATTCCAACGCACTTGAACTTGAAACATGCATTATTCTACAACAATGCTTTCAAAATGAATATATATTCCCTAAACAACACACTGAATATAAAGAGGCTGAATAAAATTGAATATCTTTGAGATAAACGTTGCATTTCGTGTTACTTACATAGGCTAGTGGAATAAATATTGCAGAATTATTTCACAGAGGCGCATTAACCATCTCTGAAAGTAGTATGTCATTTCAGCTTAAATTTCCATCTGCTCGTCAATGTATTGATCATTTTTAGCTCGACTATTCGATAAGAATAAGTAGAGCTACGAGCTATTCGATAAGAATAAGTAGAGCTATTGTAGTCACCCGAGCGTCGGCATCGGCGTCAGTGTCGGCGTCTGCGTCGGCGTAACCACTTATGTTAAAGTTTTTGTAATAGTTCAAATATTTTCAAAGTCCATTGACATATGGCTTTGAAACTTTGCACACTTGTTCACCATCATGACCCCAACCTGTAGACAGGAGGAGGTAACTCTATCAAGCATTTTAACAGAATTATGCCCCTTTTTCGACTTAGAATTTACGTTAAAGTTTTTGTAATAGTTCAAATATTTTCAAAGTCCATTGACATATGGCTTTGAAACTTTGCACACTTGTTCACCATCATGACCCCAACCTGTAGACAGGAGGAGGTAACTCTATCAAGCATTTGACAGAATTATGCCCCTTTTTTTACTTAGAATTTACGTTAAAGTTTTTGTAATAGTTCAAATATTTTCAAAGTCCATTGACATATGGCTTTGAAATTTTGCACACTTGTTCACCATCATAACCCCAACCTGTAGACAGGAGGAGGTAACTCTATCAATCATTTTGACAAAATTATGCCCCTTTTTCGACTTAGAATTTACGTTAAAGTTTTTGTAATAGTTCAAATATTTTCAAAGTCCATTGACATATGGCTTTGAAACTTTGCACACTTGTTCACCATCATGACCCCAACCTGTAAACAGGAGGAGGTAACTGTATCAAGCATTTTTTTTAATATCAAGCACTAAGAATAGTCGAGCTTTGCTGTCCTACTGACAGCTCTTGTTATTGTATATATGTAAAAAAATATATTTTCACAGCTAATCTTTTGGAACCATATCCTTAAATATTCATTGTATATTTTGTTATGTAGGTCCACCGATGGAAAGCGATACAGTAGAGAAGTCTGGCTTAACCCAGCACTTGCAAATAGGGCTGTTTCCTTTTTATACAGTGCATACAATGCACACACTTTGATATACAATGCCATTTCTTTATTAATATATTCATATCTTATAAATATTGTAATAAAATCACAGGTAAAAACCTGATATTATAATTGTTTTGTATGTCTCTTTTAATTGTTTTGTATATTGCACGGAAATAATATTATTGTAATATTTATTGGTTAATATCTTTTATGATATCTTTTACTGTACATGCAAGAAATGTTAATCTAGTCTTATCATTTTGAATGTGTGTTCATAGTGTTACTTAGAATTGATATGTGATTTTTAAAAATATTTTTTATAACTTTTTTTTAAATTTTATTACAGTATATTCTACAGCATTTTTGTGCCATATATACAAACAAAAATGTTGTTCTCAACATTGTTTTATATTAGTCTCACATAAACAAGAAAAGTGTAAAAAAGCCCTTTCTTTGATGATTTTTTTTCAAAGATTTCTAATTTTATGTAGTTCATTGATAGTGTCTCTGATTTTTAGAGGTCAATTGATATTTTCAGTGTGTTCATAATTGAAAGATAAAATCTAGGTAATGATTTCAATTACTAGAATTGAACAGGTAAAGAGTCTATTTTACTAACTGGCTGTGCTGGTTTTATATATGTAAAACACTATAAGCAAACTTATACAATATCAGAATATAAAGAGGGGGCTATTGAAATTTATTTGGGGATATAACGTTACTGTTGCTAATTATAACTCTTTTTTAAAGTATGTTTTAATTATTGGAAATTGTTGATGATTGTATATTGTTATATTTTTGTTATGTATACATTTTGTGTTTCCTGTATAAACATGACAAGACTTGTAACTGGGTAAAATGATATTTTTAAGGCTTTTGTAGCTTTTACAAATGAATCACAAATAAAGATTTAAAACATTATGTTCGGGTTTGTTGTAAATTTAATGTCACATAATTGATATCTGTCTTATTTGTCTATAAAATAATGATATCAGATCATGATTTCCTGTTCACAGTCGTCGGTTTTGCAAACAAAATAATCTAACATTCTAAGATCTTAAGCATTTATACTCTATATAATTAAGTTGAAAAAATATCATATTTCCAGACAAAGCTTTTAACATGGACACTTAAATAGAAAACATTTGCGCCCTTGCTTGTCTAGAGCGGAAGAAAGAAAAGACGAGCATGACATGTTTAAGTTTATTAGTTAGCGATTAAACGTGTTGAACATTTATCCATATCAAATTGCATTTAAAATGTGCAATTAAATTCTACGGAATAGCAACTGTAAGTGGTAATTTCCGAACGGTGAAGGATACTTTCCTTATTATTGATCATGAATTTCTCTACGGTCATCCACACTGTTTTGACATGTACAGAAGATATCAGTGTCTTGAAGTGAAGTGACGGCAACCGCTTGACAGCCTGTCTTGGAACGATGCGAAGGCTGAAGTGTGTTGTGATCAGTTCAATGTGGCTAACTGTCGAGATACGGACGATAAACTACACGAACCATCATCACCACCTATGTATTTTCACAACGCCTTTGCTACTGCACTTGGATGTTTGCAATAATGTATTCACTTTTTAAATTTATCTACACCAAGTTTATCATACCCTACCCCACTAAAAATAAAACGTTGGACACATATATGTAACTAATACATTTGTATTAACAAGATAATTATTAAAATTCTTATGAAGATTCTGTCATTAAACACATTACATTCAACACATTCACGAACATGCACTTCTTCAAATGTTCCGTTATAAATTTATTTCTGAGAATTTTATAGCTCTAATCTAAGTTCTTCTCTTAACGCAATGTTGGTTTTATTTCATATTCCGATCATATTTACACTTGTTATTTCACAATCTGCATCAACATAGCTAGTCGCAATAATTATCTCCTGGTTTATTTGTTTATTCTTTAACGTTAACTCGATAATTGAAGACAAAATTCTCTATATCGAAACATGTTTATATTTTTCGAAGCATAACATTATTAAGCTTTTGATTTTGTTCGTTTGGTTAAAGTACGTTTTTAATTTCAATTTTATTGAACTGAAACATTGGAAGCTCTTAATGTATTATTAATCAAATGAAGCCATTATAAACTGGAACCTTAATTGATAATTACGATAAAATGTAATGCATCTGTTGATGGAGGGATAACACTTTATGCACTATATTTCAGTAATGTAAAACTTGGTTTCAATTTACAGACAATGATATTCTTAATGCTGTTTATAAAAGGACTTTTAATGTTTGTATTTGTAATAATGATAAAACAAATACAGTAACTTAGGTATAACATTTGTAAAATGAGAATAGCTGAATTATCGGTGTATCAGAAATAAAGCCGACTGGTTAAGTCAGTGCTTTGGGCATGACAGGTGTAGCACTTATTATTATCTCTTATAATCAGATTCAGTCAAAACGAGTTAACATTTTGGACACTTGATTTTTATCGCTCATTACATGAGGATTTTTTCTTTTTCTAAATTGTTTTTGCCTGGAAATGAACGATATTGCATTTTACGGCTTTATTGAGTCTGTTCATGACAGATGCTGAAAGGAGCACCATCTCTTAAACACCCAAGATCTGGAAGGTGATGGGGGAATGGAAAAACACCAACAAGAACAACAACAAAACACACACGCACGTACGTATGCACGCACAAAAACAACAAAAACTGGGGAACGGCACGATACTTACCGTAGACGACAAAAACAAGAAGGGACACAAAAAGTGACACCATCATTTTCATGTAGCAAAAGTCCAGACATACACATGAGAAACGGGGAAGGGGGTGCAGCATAAGCAATTCTGGGAAGTTTAAACCATTTAATGTTGCACCAACCTGCATGTTCATATTAAACGACATTGTCCAAGCCATGCGAATATTTACTTTGTTATGAAAGTGATTTGTAAATGAAACGCCTTATCGTTGTAACACATTTCTGTAGCTTTCTTTAAACGTATTTTATTCTCATACTGTGTAAAACATTACTTTGACCTTTATCAGACAGAAGCTGTACAAAATATAGCAAAACTTGTTTTGCCATTTACGATAAAAATACCAATAATAAGGCAGGATAAAACGGGAGAAAGATTTATAAACCAGTACGTTCCTCTTGTAGAAGACAGACAAATAGTAGCCAGATTTTTTATTAAAATTTGCTGAAGAAGTGGAATTGTACAACAAAACAGTAATTTCCTTCGTAACAAGCTAAAAGATATACATTGCTAGACAACATAAAAGAGAAAATAGATTTATATACTGTCATATTTCTCTCTTACACGCTTACAGACCAGACACTTTGTGTAAAGTTATAAAACAAGTTGGTTTAATCATGGCTACCATTTTAATAATAATACAATATATATCATTATTTCTCGTTTGTCCTGACAAGGGAAATAATTGCAAATTGCGCAATCTTAAACGTCGATTATGCCATGATTATATAAACAAATATATATTCATAAGAATACAAAAAAGTAATACAAAAAAGTAATACTTTAGTCATTTGTGCCTTTATGAAATCTTAAAACGTGGCGCAAATATAGACCTTTCAATAAACTGATGTATACATTTATAAAGAACTACGTAATGTTTGGTCTTCAAAGATAAAAACTGTTTTTGTTTACAATACGTCACACAAGTTTTAGTCAACTTAAAAGAATCAGAGCATGTATTTGTATCACATTGTAAATGTATGCTATGAATTATACCATAGGTACAATTACACGAGCAATTAATGTAATGTGCACCTCTTTTTGGATTAGGAAATATTTAATAAAAGGCGTGTGGTTGGCTAATATGAATGTTGCATTTTTAGCTCGTGAGAGTATATTTATTGCTTATAGCCTTATACATTAGAAAAGCTTATTGAAATCTTTCTTGCTCGTTAAAGTCGCCCCGTACTTTCAATCAGAGATGTTATAATTTAGATTCCCGAATATCGTTCAATACGACATTCTTGTTGTATTTGCTGGGTGGTTTCAGCATTTTTATTTGAATACTGTTCAATCACTTTTTAGGATATGTTGTCTGTGTTTTAAATTTGTCATTTTGACATAAAGATTTAGTCTTTTGTGATATGCAGTCTTCATAACGTCTGATCCCCTTTTAAAATTCCATTTTATTTGGTGTTGCCCATTGTTTTCTCGTTTACGGCACTAGCATTCATGTACTCGGGGACCATTCACCGCCTTTCATTAATGCATTTACGTGTCACATTGGATGTTCCAAGGTAATAACCGTACAAACATATCTGTAGATGTTTATAAATTGATAATTTTATCATTTCAGGTTAAATGTTGCACTTTAGTCAGTGCTAAGGGACATGGACGGTAACTTGTACTTTCCATGTCACGTCCATGAACAGTCTCAGTCAAACCGAGCCTGCAACATTTTCAAACGTTCTTTAGGCATTCCCTTTTTTTAGCTATTTCATATTGATTCAACATTTAACTTTATAACATACAATCGTTTATTATTTAAGCCAGAACTCCTATCATTACTATGGTTATTCAAGTCACAAAAACCGAATACATGAATAACAAATGTACTAGTATGTTGTTATTTTATAAGCCCATTATGACTATGATTTATTTTACAAAAGCTTTTTTCATTGTCCTGTTAAACCACCCAAAAGGTCACTCATTTACCTGAGATATCTTTGCTTCTTTTGCGTTTAGCCAATAAGTACAGTTTTAGTGAAATAGTATTTTGTATGGAAGTCAAAATACCAATTTGTTTACATATCTATTGTTTTTGTCATGACTTATGTTTACATTTTGCGTTATTTTCGTCAGGTTTTATAAGCAAAGATTTTTACAATACACACATTTGCCCTTTCAAAGCAAGGAAAATAAATAATCATTGATGATGCTAACTTCACTTTATTTTACTGCTTAAAATCCTTCTAAATTGTTGGCTGATCTTGTTTTAAAATAAAAAAAAACTACACTACATTTATTAAAGCCGTAACTAACTTTGTTGTTGAACTTTACTGCAAAAACATTTTGTAATTCATTTTTCATGAGTACATTTCTCTATTGTTAAAAATGTTTCTCATAGGTATTAAGAATTCTTGGGGACGTTATATTGCACAAATAGGTAAATTTAATTACTACTTAGTTTTGTAAAATTATGCTCTTACATAACATGGGTGAAATATAAGATTTATGTGGCCCTTTCAGAATCACATCTCACCAAAGTAAATCAATTTAACTATAGTAGTATATTGCAGATATATTTCACCGATTGATATTATACTGTACAAAGGTTTGTATTGTCAGTATTGCTCTTGACGTGTTCACAATGATTTCAAAAACCGTATGTACCCATTTACAACTGATGCCCATTATAAAAGTACCCCCTATTAATAAAATGGTTTTGATATTTCGAAATCAGTAGATTATGATAAGGTTAAATGAAAAACATAATTATGCATTTTGCCATTCATTGCTTTGTTTTCGACATACATCTCCTTGTACATCTCCATTTCTATGCAGAATTTGCGTCAATGAAAATAGTAATGTTTGATACAGTTAGTAAACATAAATGGTCTTACCCGTATTACCCTGCTATATAGTGATTACGTAAATATGTGGAGATTTGATATAACAATTATGTTCAATATTATCAGCCAAAACTATATTCTGAACATATTGATGAGTGGTATGCTTTATATGGAATACGCTGGATATTTTTGCATGCTAGTGCTGTAATGTAAAGCTTTTTCAGGACAAAGTATTATTAAATAAGATTTATGTAATGCAGTTGGAAGCATATTTATCTCGTATTACACATTTACTGCTGTAATATTGTAGTTAATCCTGAATTATTTATTTAACTTGCCAACAACAAGATAATCATTTTCCCAATCTCTAAATTAATTTATTATTA